CTATGGAATCCGACCGCTCTCGCGACCCATCCAGACGCCGTGTTTCCAAATCCTCGAGCGCGCCTAAACTCCACAGCAACAAGCCCAAGGTCGTCCTCAACAGGGATGGTGACAACCCAGGGACGACACTGACTGGCGGATCAAGTCGCAAGAGCGAGCGACGATCCAGTCGCGGCTCCATCTCGAGCTACGCAGACTCGACTACTCGCGATGAGAAGTCTCATCGAAGAAAGAGCAAGGACGAGAAGACCCTATCCCAACGGGATTCTGCGCTAATTGGGCTTGCCGGAGCTGGCCTTACTACCGCCGCTCTCAAGCACCACACTTCGCGGGAAGAGAAGGAGGAAGAGCGCAAACACCGCAAGCATCGCTCCTCTCGCAGCAGTCGATCTGAGAGCGTATCTGAAAGCGTCCACGAGGAACGCGTTCCACCTCTACCCTTCAACCGCAGCGAGCTTATCGGAGGATCCGAGCTCACTCGCGACTCCATCCTTTCCGCAGAAACTGAGACCAAGGAGAGGCCGCAGTCAAGGTCATCGACGAGCACTGGCATAACAGGCACAGGTGCTGAGACGCCTCTGCAACAGGTCTCTCGTGGTTACATTTCACCATCTCCACGCACACCAACCCGCACACCTAATGCGCTTCAACAAACGCTCGGCACTGCTCACAGTAACAAATCAACCAACGAAGTCCGCACAGCGACTCCAAAGAGCGATCGCAGCTACACCTCCCGCTCGAAAGTCACTGACGCCAGTCTGTCGGCTGCAGCTGCGGCCAAAGCCCGCGCAATCGAGCGGTCAGAACCTCAAGCATCGCAGTATGAAATTGAGAGTGACACGCAATCAAGACGTGGTGATACTGTCAGCCCGATACAAAGCGAGGCTAGCTATCGGGGGGACGCACAGATCACAGGCTCACCACGAAGATTTAACTCCATCCGCAGTGGGCCATCTGTGTCTTCTCTTGGCCATCAATTTGAGCGACGAGAGTCTAATCTCTCTATCGCATCAATGGACTCAACAGCGAGCACCAAGGCGGCACGTACCCGCAAACGACCTCAGGGCGTCACTCTCGAAAGCAAGAGGTCTATCCTCAACGAGGCCACGACGCCCAAGGACACAAATGAGTTCTTCGAACGCAACCACGAGAAGAATGAAATGTACCGGCGAGAACTAGAGGACAGCTCTGTGAACTACAACCGCATGACCATGTATACCGATGACAGCACAGGCGTAGAGTATCTTGATCAACAACAGAAGATTGGTGATCTTCAAGACCTTCGCAAGGTCGGCTCGAATCCTGAATACGTTCACACACCGCTAGCAGTAGAATCAGCCGTCGCATCCCTACACGACCCGTCTACCATCAGTGTTCGATCTTCAATGGCTTCAAGCCCGATCAAGAAGAGTATGCTATCGCAGGTCAGCACGAACCCAGCCTACGTGCAAACCGAAGAAGTACCTGCTGGTCAGAGATGGGCCGCCATCCGTGATAAGGCGGAAGCACTAGTACAAGAACGACGTGCTGAGGAATCTCCAAAACAAAACATTGCGCGCGAGAATTCTCCCAGGCAAAGCATTGCGCAGTCTGAAGATGGACAATCGGTTGTATCTGAAGCACCTCAGATGCATCACAGCGCCTATCCCGTTGGCAATGACGACATGATGCCCGAGATTGGGTACGGCATGGATGACGACTCAGATGTGACTACCAACCCATCAATTATCCAAGGGCCAATTGGCGGAGGAGATGGTTACCATGATCGTACCGACGAGTTGCTGAGCCGCCAAGAAGAGCGGGAGCGTACACCTACCTCGTTCAGCAAAGGCGTCACTGGACTCGGAGCTGGAGCTGCTGCCATGGCTGCTGCCGCTGCCTATGAAAGGCAGGAGCAGCAGACTCCGGATTCGTTCGACCAACGACACCAGGCCACCGTAGAAGACGAATATGATCATCCCTATCCAGGTGAGCAACAATACGAGCAGGCAGGCTATGCGCAGAGTAATCGCACTCCTTTGTCGTCAGGCCAGACCGGCTGGAAAGACGAGGGTTACCAGTCGGCTAACCAACGTGAAGCGTACACGCCTCAAAACCGCAATCATTCAAAGATCTTTGATGATGACGGTTACGGTGATGAGTACAATGGCGTGGATCTTGGCAGCCCGGACATGTTTGCTGCTCGTGCCAAACATGACCGACACGTTAGTGGCAACTCCCACGGTATGACTTCGCCTCTCTACGACGCAGCTACCGGCAAAGGTATTGATCGTATCGAATCGAAAGACATTGTGGCACTCATGGACCACCTCACCGTTCGCGATGCCCAGCGTAATGCACGCGATACCGAGATCCTAGTGACTCTTGTCCGAAGCGCTGCCGAGATGCGCAATCAGTTGGACGATCTGAAGCAGTTCATCAAGACTCAGGACACTATGATCATGAATACCACTGACAAGCGAGTCAACTTGGCGGAGCAAAGGATTCTGGGTGGCCCTCGCCCTCAACCCATGACGCCCCCTCGCATGAATCGCACATCTTCCGACGACGACATTGAGACCAAGAAGAAGAGTGTCTTCAGGCGTGCTCTGAAGGGACTAAGCTCTGGCAAGGGCGATGGCGACATCAAGCACATCGAGCAAATGCTCGTCCAATTGCTCGGTGAAGTTGAGGGTTTGAAGCAAGTCAATCAGCTCTCGTTGGACCAACAAGCGAGGACGAATAGTCTCAACTCGTACGAGAATCTGCGAGCAAGCGATGACGCAGGCTATGAGCCAGAAGGTCGTGCCAACACTGCGCCTTCTCCCGACCAGTCGGGTTACTTTTCTAACCCTTCCTCATCACGGCGCATTCAAGATCTTCACTCCGGCTTTGATGTTGTGCCAACAAACCGTATAAGCACGGTGCGAGAGGAGAGCGACGAGGAGTACGACGAGCGCAATCCCCAATACGAAAACACTGAGCGCATGACAACGCCAACTCAGGAAGCTTTCCCAGACAAGCGTCGATCTTTGGGTACTCCCCCACAAGCTTCAAAGTCGACACGGGACTCAAGCCATGAGACCACACCGAAGCGCAAGCACAAGTCCAACTCATCATCCATCTTCGGTATCCCCAAGATCTCTCGATGGTCGAAGACAACTTCTTCTACCAACCCTGAGAGTCTGCCGCGCAACAGTGTGTCTGGTGAGAGGCGACCACAATCCACACACTCCAGGTCTTCTTCTTTGGATGACTACTACGATGACGACGAGCCGTATCAGCAGCATGGTGACGATAGGCTTCGCTCCAACACTTCGCTGGCTAGGGACGATCAGGCGTCCGTCCGCTCTGCGCGCTCTCTACGCTCTCCATCGCCTCTTATCCCAGAGGAGCATCAGTACCAGATGGAAGACCCCAAGTATCAGGCGCATCGCAATTCGCTGAATCTGCAACACCCTCAGCCGCGACCCGGGCCAACCGGTCGTCACCAGAACCAACTGGAGAGCCAAGCACAAATCTACAATCCTGTTCGTTCAAGCATAGGGTCTCCAGATTTTGATCAGTGGGGTAGCATGCCATCGCTTGCGCGAAACCGGATGTCTGGTATCTCGGCTCAACAGAATGCTGGCAACCTCTCACCAATTTCGTCAGATGGCTACAGCCAACACTCTGCTTCGGAGCAACAAGCCGGCCCACCCAGGCCTCCCAAGATCCCGGATGACGGTCCTCTTATCCCGCCGCCACAGCTGCTTGCCGGCTATGGGCAGACGAGGCAGATGTACAGCTCTCCGAACGAATTCGGTAGCCAAGGTGCTTTGACACCGCTTGCACCTATCGCAGAGGTGCGTTACTCACTTGAAACCGATCGGGGCCATCGCGTAAGTTCAGCTCACGCCTCAGAAGATGGCGAACAATGCTGACATTACGCGAAAGATGACACCTACTGCCTCGCCTCGCCCGAGCAGCCAGTACCTCCGCTCCGAGGCTAGCATGGACAGCCCACAACGAAGGGTTACTGGCCCCAGGCCCATGGGTAGCAAGAGCCCGCAGCCACAGAGTCCGCTGCAACACTCGGATACCGTTGTTCGCAGGAAGCCTATCGCTGGTGAGTCTTATGCTGCTTGACGTATCGACTGAGAAAGGTTACTAACAAGTACGACAGATGATGAAGAGTCTCTAGAGAGCTACCGTAGCAGTCTTGATTCCGAGATTTTCTAGGCGAACCATCTCAAACCCAGCATTGTAATCCACAGCAACAGGCAAACTGCAGTCAATAGCTGGGTCGAAAGTAATGGACAGAAGGGGGACGCACGTTTTCTTTCCCATCAACGACCAAGCAAGAATTTGCAACAGCGGTCACCGCTTAGGCATGTGACATTTGCTGAATGAACGAAGAGTACGAAGAGTAGTAATATTGGGATGTGCAAAAGCTTTTCATTGGTTATATGGACTTCATTCGCTTTACATACCTGCGCATATATCACTTTGCGAGCATGGCGTTTATATAGCGTTCTTCGACATGGTTTCTGTGGCATGAAGTTTGGAGGGAGTCTTGAGTGGCTGATGAGGGACGAACTTCATGCTTTATGAGAAACGACGGCGTATTTAGGTAGGCATTTCGATACGAATGCAACATTGTGTGTTGGCAGAAATGTTTTCCTTCAGCGTGTGATGTTTTGTTCCACGATCTGTTTCGTCATCGTTCGGATTCGGTACCTGGATGTCTTCAATGCACCCCACCAGCACGCGACCACCACAGCAAACTTACCAACTAGCCCCTACAGTTCTCAGGTTCCCGCTTACCAGCCCTTCACTAATCGGCAAGTCTTTGCCTGAACGCGAAGGGTCTTCCTGTCTCGGCCCGCAGTTATGAGGTCGTCGTGACATCATCAGGGTCCACCACTCTTTCATCATCATCGATGAGCTGTAAAGCTAGCAGTATGTAAAAAACCTTTATAACATGTCCTTCCGGCTTGGATCTCCATCAAATACACACACACAACTTCTTTGATACCCATATCTCCGATTCCAATACACACCTCACCAACAAATTTCCAAACTACTTCAGCCTACACACATCACAATGTCTGCCGAATACAAGAACACCAACGTCAACGAGATCGCCAAGAAGGCTGAGCAGGAACTCAGCAGCGATAGCGCTACCAAGGGCCACAACGTTGGTCTTTCCAGTATGTCTTCTTTACCAACCCATCGCACAAAAACACCGACTAACTCTACTCCTTCACAGCCACCGAATCCGGCGTCGACACCGCAAACGTAGAGGGCAAGTTCCCTGGCGCAGAAGTAAAATACGGCTCCGCTGCCAGCGGCGCTGGCAACAACCGCGAGATCCCGCTCGACGAGGGTGGTTCCATCAAGGCCAACGGTCAACCTACCAAGGCGGGTGACTTTGCTCACGGAGGTGTCGGCGCACCTGAGGAGAGGAATCAGACTTATATCAACAACAACGGTGGTGATGACTCCATCCGGGGGAACATCAGGAACTAGGATGGTTGATGCATGAAGATGCGGGAAAGAGGTTGATTGAGACCCTACCGCTTAATGAATGAAAGGAAATGATCCAAAAGAGAAACCATGAAATCAAAGAATCTGAATGCTGTTGTGAGGATTTGACCATTTTCCTTCTCCATTCTTTCTTGCTTCGTCCTCTTCTAACCTCACTAATTCCTACGTTCTGTTTCGCTCCATGCTGTAGCCATGTTTTACTTTCTCGAATGCACTGTTTCTGTCTATCATCCCTCACTATTCCCTTCGCGCACGAAAGCTCTGTTCTGCTCACACCTAGTATCTATTCTCGAAAAAATCTCGATCATATGTGGGTATACATGTATTGACACAGTGTGTACCAGAAACAGAGTAATTGGCCTGCTGAACTAATAATACCTAGATCAACGTATCGCAATCCAGCCTAACGTCAGCATTCAGAGACCTCGTTTGTACGAGAGAGGGCTCTACGAGCACCTAAGCGTTTTGGACTAGACCATATACACTTACCTAGCTAAACCAGGGCACCTGTTTGACACATATTTCTAGCAAGCTACTACACTCCAACCAAACGGTAACTGCGTCAGACAGCCCTATTAAAGTCGAGTCCCGAACTACATTCTCCGACTCCTCTTCTCGCTCGAGCTCCGATTTTACTAGTACTACGAACAACTCTCTATCAAAACCATGTCCATAAAGAACGAAAGGCGATAATAACCAATCCTCTGGCCTACAGGGCAATCTTGGAAAGGGAAAGGAGAAAGTTAACCTACGTGCTGGCGGTAGTGTACTGACTAGCTGGCGATGTGATCACTGTATTACGATACAGTCATAAGATAGTGTAGAGCATAGTGTGACGTGGTCTTGAATGGGGGTAACATGCGGTTATGGGTATTGTGGAGAGTGGGAGTGCTAGAGCTAATAGTATGATGAAGTCATGATACCTGAGCTGCAATCTTCAGCTAGACGAGGATGAAGGTCGGTGTCGTCCTTCGGCTCATAACAACGACACGACGCTGACGCTGTATGCCTAGATATGCTTACTAGGAAAATTGGAAAAAGATTGCTTTTGAGCCTTTCATGATTACAAAGCTCCTTTCGTTAGCCCTGAAGGTTCACTTTCTTTAACCCTCAGAATCATTTCTCCTCGCTTAGAATCCTTGTGCATCATTGGAGGACTCGACCGCGTCAAGTATGACTACCACACTTGACCAGGAGAGCCAAAATAGCCTGAGTGAGGATTTCGAGGCTTCAAGATGCAGAAAGAAAGGTGCCGTAACGGCACATATCCATCTATACTTGGAGACATCAGAAATGACCACAGTAACTCGATGTTCCTCAATCATCGTGCTGTAAATGCGTCGCTTAAACCAGTTGCAATCGGGACAGATTCCAGAACTCCTTTAAATTACCAGTTCCTAAAACTACAAGGAATTTGCGACTTAGGTTCGATCCAAGGCACATGGGAAAGCATATATGGATATTGAGGCTTCTGAAGTGAAGCGAGATTGGTAGTAGAGATACTCAAGTAGAAGATGACATTTCTTTACAGCTAACAAGTCCCATCATCTACATACAAGTCAACCTGAAGCGGAACTCATGAAATCTAAATATTGTTCCTTGTTTGCATGTCTTGTCTGAGGGCGAGCAACGTACGGCCTAGCTAATTGTTGGTGATACTTTCTGTAGTGCTTAAGTCGGGCGTCTTGCCGATTGAACACTCTCTCGCACGAAGCGTTCTCACAAACATAGACTCTACTCGAATGTTTGAGCCGCTGGTGTCTTGCTAAGTTGCCCCTACGGTGAACACCACTGAATGCGGTACAGCAGTCATCTATATCGCAATATATCTCGGATGAGGCAGTGGAGGAGGACGTGGTACTGGTTTCGGACTGTAATGCCGTTGTGGATTGTACAGATGAATCCCACGAGTCTTCGCTGAAAGACACCGAGGGAACAATGTGTGCTGGTGGCGTTGCCAGCCGTATTTCGAAGGCTGGGTGATCGAAGAACTGGGCGGGATGTGTAGATTTGTGAGATAAGGACAACGGATTCCAGCTCGGTTCATGCAGCGACGTAGGACGCACCGTCAGCATGGAATCAACCATGGATATCGGATCTATGTCGTGGGATGAGATACATTCACATGTTGCAAAACCCACGCCAGGACGTTCGGTCAGCGTGGATTCGTCCATGGATCCATCCACGTTGGATACGCGTTGGTACGCTGCTCTTCCCGCGCTGGCATCGGTGCCACTATGACTATCGGCCATGCACAAGTCAGGCCCCATAAGCAGCGGTGGCCTTTGGTCTTCCTCTAGAGGCTACTAATGTCGGTCAGAGTGCAATTGCAAGTAAGCTTTCAGGCACTTACGTTATCTTTTGCCTTGCGTGAGTATGAAGACGTTTTGCATTGAAGCGGTGAGCTAGGAGGCTCAGCTACTGTATCTGAAGCCTGAGTCGACACAGGGAGCTCTGGAGTAAGGTCTGGATCATGTAAAATTGGCATTGAGCTCAACAGCGTAGCGTCAGTTTCGGCTGTGGTGGAGTTTGCTGAACTTCTTTGGTTTCCTTGGGTGATGATGTAGGTCTCCACTTTGGAGCACAAAATATCATACTGCTCCTGTTGCCCCGTATCGCCCTTGCGCTGTTGCCGTGGGGTCTCACATTTGAGGCCGTCTTTGCCATGGTAAGCCTCGAATTCGTGCTCGTCCAGTAAGTCTTCGTTACAGGTTGTGCAAAGCTTGAGGAAGGGTAAGTGCGGAGGCCTTCCTTTGGGTAGCCTACGGGTTAAATGCGTTCGGACAGCAGATACCGTAGTAACTGGGGCTGCTGTACATGTATAAGGCAAACCCAGTTTTGCCTGAGCTTTCCGGAATGCACATTGTAGGCTGCGCTTGGGTTTCTGAACCTCTTCTGTCATGGTTGAGGGCGTTGATTGTGACTCTGGCAAATGAACATTGGTATGCAAGACATGTGGGGACTGTTGTGATGTCACAAGTTGGTCCGCTGGAAGGCCATAGAACGATGATGCTGGCTGTTCGATTTGAGATGTGAATGACTTGCGGGTGCTTTTTCGCCGCTATAATGAACAACATTAGTGATGCCTCCTCAGTGCGGACTGATATGCAAACCTTGTTTACAATGTCCGAAGGCAAAGACAAAGAAATTGTCCTCTTTTTCCCTGTGAGCTGCGTGACAGACTGTCGTACTGGACCAGGATCAGCCTCAAGATTGTTGGCCCAAGACTGCGCAGTTGCTTTTTGTGGAGGTGAGTTTGAATCGTCGAAATTGCCGGCGTCAGTGAAATCAAATGATGCTATGAACGCATCAACATCAAATGCGGATGCAAGAGGAGCGTGCGGGGGGTCAACGAAGTCGAAGTCTTGGCGCAGAGCTGGGTATTCTTCCCGTGCATGTGTAACTCCATATGGAAGGACGTGAGCACCCGGAGCAGCATTGGTCCCTGGACGTAAAGATGGAAGTCCTTCGGAAGCTTGTAGAGGAATAGTATAAGTCGAAGGACCATTGGTATCTCGGGTAGCCATAATAAGCACAAGGCAGGAAGGACGAGGAGGACATCGAGAAAGCTTACGAGCGTGGGCATCGAGGTCTATAACGCTCTGCCATAACCAATCATCGTAGTTGAAGCGTTGCTTAGGGAGATGGCTTGCACAAATACGTACCTTACGATCTGAGGACCTGAGGATTTACGGACTTTCAGAGATGCCTGATGGCCTTACAAGCCAAATGCCAAGGACCACTGACAGAGCGAGGCGACGTAAGGTAGATGGAAGCCTGATCGCCATTGGGTCAGATCGCGGGCAGCTAGCCACATGCGATTTAGCAGACCGAAACAAGGCTGAGAGCTGCAGGAGAGAGCGGTCAATGGTATGTTCGACTCGCTTGAATACCAGACTGAATTGTTGAGATGAGGATATGCATATTCAGACACCTACATGGTCACAGTGACTTCTTAGATCCTGTGTATCTGACAGTAGCAATGTGCAGCCAGACGCCTGCTGTAGCAGTAGTCTCGTACTCTGAGGGGACAAATGTATTGAAAGGAAGACGGATCAATAATGCAGAGAAGAGAGACAATTGAAGGGGTATCAAAAAGGAACAGTATGCTCAACAACAGTTCGCACGCGGTTCATGCCCACACACCTAGAGTCCAGCTAGCTCTCTCTCCGCCCTTGGTAGAAAGTCCAGGGCCCATGCTCTGCCTCTGTGCGATTACAGAGACGTCCTTCTCTCTTGTGGCTCCTTGCAAACCATCTTTGAGATACTTTTCGCGTTCGACTTCGACGATGCCCTTGATGCGCTGCTGTGCTATCAGACTTGCACCTGCCCACGCACCTAATGTATCTACGCCTCTGATGGTGCCACCAACCAAGCTAGCAGGTGGCGGACCGTGACGTATCGCCATCTGAGCGAACTTTGTGTCTATAGGATCTTCTTGGGGCGATTGAAGCGCTGCGGGTAGTTGGGCAGGGGGCGCATTCGCATCGAGCGACGAGGGGAACATATCCTCGCCTTCTTGTCGGCGCATCTCCACATCTTCCCTCTGGTTTCGGAGTTTCTCTTCGCGACGCGCGCTTGCTTTCCCATAGCTTTTGACTGGGTCCCAGCCCTTGAGTTGTACCAGAGCATCCAGCTCCTTCAGTATGCGCGTCTTGAGACCGGGCAAGTTGGACACGCCGCCTGTTATGACGATGCGCGACATGCATAGTCGACGGACGTCTATGGGCAGCTGGACAAGGGCGCGGTATATGAGGTGATGCAGCGGAAGGTCTTCGTCGTCGAACTCGTGTATGGCTAACTCTGGTGCAAAGAGAGCATTCTCGGTAGGCTTGGCTAGTGATGCGAACGATATGGTGAGTTCGGTAGGAGGGGTGTGTTTCGGGAAAGGTATGGTGACAGTAGGTGGCGGTGACTCGACAGCGTCTTCAAACTCCTCTAGCACAGGCGCTTCTCGTGCAGGAAAGTATACGGTTCTTCGGTTCGATCTAGGGACAGGCTTGCACCATCCGACGCGCGTAAGGACTTCCTCTGCCTCTTCAAAAGATACGTCTGCCTTGGTAGGGCCTGGCTCAGCATCGTCGAGTTCGGCGTTGAGTAGCTTCGCCATCTCCTCGCTCAATAGCCTGCCTGCTCGTACACTGCGCCTCTCAGCTACCTCGCGATACTCGCAAACTGCGGTCACCAGTGTCTCGGCCCAGCCAATGTCCACAACCAATGCTGAGCGTAATCCTGCTGCCACGGTCGACAGCACTGGCGTGGACATGAGGGTGATGCTGGGGGCTTGGAAGCTCGTAAACAGCACATCGAGAACTGTCGACATGAGTGCATGCGGCATGCGGGGCGGCATTGCAAGTAGCACGCGGCGTGGCTTCGTGTCGAGCAAGAAGTATTTGCCGTACGCCTCTCGCATTGCCCGCTCGAACTTGTCCTCGACCAGCCCCAAGTCGACCTTGCTCAGGTCCGTCCGGTAGAGCTCATACTCGTGCCCCCAGTCCAGACCCCGCTTCCGCCTTCTTCTCTTGTGCGTATATTGGGGGTCCCACTGCCTGTAGTCGCCCACCCTGCGCTGGTCGTCGGGCCCAAACGGGAGGGTGCATCGCGGGGCGCTCTCGCCGGGAAAGCCGGCGCGCACGAAGCGTGAGCCGACTTCAATCACGACGTATTCGTCTTCGGTACGGAAGGAGCCGCCAGGTGAGCCGAAGGAGGATGAGATGGTTCGTAGAATGGGTGTTCGCGGGGACTCTCCCAGGTCAGCGAGGCGCGGCGTTGTGCCCCTTGTGCTGCGGCTCAGGGAGCCCGAGACTTTGCGCTCGCCGCCAGAGGACATTTGGATTACGGCGAGCAATGTTGGGGATGGAAGTGGCTAGTTCATGGCAGCCCTCACAAGCTCAATGGCCCAGCAGCGTCGCTTTCGCTTGCCTGTGCCTGGCGTTCGTCACTGCTGTAGCTACCAGAAACAGAGCTTGTGCGTTCGAGGGTTAGCGCTGGGCTGTTGGCCCGAGCTCAGGAAAAAGTTCGAGCTGGGATTCCGCACTGTTCGAGCTTGCGACAACTCCCATCGCGACTTCCCACACCACGTCCAAATTCACCACGGAGGGTAGTTGCGTTTCGCGATCGCCATTGGACCTACCCCACGACCGACCACTCGCAAAATGGGTCTTTTCATCCTCTCCGAGACTTCGGCAGGCTATGTCCTGTTGAAGTCCAAGGACAAGAAGCTCTTGGGCGCAGACAGCAAAGAGTCCTCAGACATTGTCGAGCAGCTCAAGCTCAAGAAGTTCGCAAAGTTCGGAAGCGCCGTCGACGCTCTCGAGCAGGCCGCTGCGCTCCACGATGGAAAAGTCACGCCTATGCTGTCGTCTCTTTTGGAGGATCTGAAGGATGAGACCAAAGCCACTTGTACGCATACTCCGACATGGCGAACAGAACGTCGCAGCTAACATATCTCAAGTGGCCGTTGCCGACCCCAAGCTCTCCAACTCGATTGCGCAACTCCCAGGTCTCTCCCTCAAGACAGTGTCAGACTCTTCCACTCAAGATGTATTTCGTGCCATCCGCGAAAACCTGACTTCGCTCCTTCCCGACCTACTCCCCGCTGAGGAGGCCGCGACCAGGCTTGGTCTTGCCCATTCCCTGTCGAGACACAAGTTGCGCTTCTCGCCCGACAAGGTCGACACCATGATCATCCAGTCCATCGCATCGCTCGATGTGCTCGACAAGCAGCTGAACACGTACGCCATGCGCGTCAAGGAATGGTACGGCTGGCACTTCCCAGAACTCGCCAAGAGTAAGTTTCAGTAGTGCCCGACGTCCACCGCTTCACGAGCACGTTACTGACTATTGCTGCAGTTCTCAACGACAACCTTGCCTACTCTCGCGTTGTTCTTAAGATGGGTTTCCGAACCAACGCGCGTGAGAGCGACCTCTCTGAGATTCTGCCCGAAGAGATTGAGGCGGCTGTCAAGGCCGCTGCAGAGATCTCCATGGGTACCGAGATCACAGACGAAGATTTGGAGGCGACCTCTGCTCTTGCCGAGCAGGTTGTCGACCTTACCGAGCACCGTCAAAACCTCGGCAGCTACCTGTCCAACCGTATGCAGGCACTCGCTCCTAACCTGACAGCTCTTGTTGGCGAGCTCGTTGGTGCGCGCCTCATTGCCCATGCTGGATCCCTTATGAACCTCGCCAAGTCGCCTGGTTCTACCATCCAGATTCTCGGTGCTGAGAAGGCCCTCTTCCGTGCCCTGAAGACCAAGCACGACACACCCAAGTACGGTGTATGTATTTGACCTCCCCAACGTATTTTGCCTGTACTAATGTTACCAGCTCATCTACCACGCATCCCTCATTGGCCAAGCTACTGGAAAGAACAAGGGCAAGATTGCCCGTATGCTCGCTGCCAAGTCCGCCTTGGGTCTGCGCGTCGACGCCCTCAGCACCTGGGGCGTCTCATCCGAGGACACCTCCAAGGAGCCCACTGAAGAGGAGAAGTCCCAGCTCGGTCGCGACGCACGTCTCACCATTGAGAGGAGACTACGCGCCCTTGAGGGTAAGCCGCTCAAGAGCATTCCTGCCGGAAATGCAAACCAGACAACACTTGGACAGAAGAAGTGGGAGGTCAAGGAGGCACGGAAGTACAACCCAGACGCTGACGGTCTTACTGGTGATGAGCCAGCTGCCGATGCGCCTGCACCCAAGAAGTCAAAGTCCGCCAAGACCAACGGTACACCCAAGAAGCTGGTACAAGAGGTTGACAGTGACGAGGAGATGGCAGATGCCGACGGCGCTGAGGATTCATCCGACTCCAGCTCTGAAGACAAGCCTGCCGCAAAGGGTGACAAGGCAGCGAAGAAGGCGGAGAAGGAGGCCAAGAAGGCACGAAAAGCTGAGCGAGCCGCAAAGCGCGAGGCCAAGGAAGCGAAGAAGGCTGCCAAGGAGGCAAAGAAGGCCGGAAAGGAGACCAAGGATAGCAAGAAGCGGAAAGCCGACGATGGTGACGAGAAGGTAGAGAAGAAGAAAAAGAAGAAGAGCAAGGACTAGATGCGTCGCAACCCCACGGAGACTTATGTATCTGTAGCCATGTTCTTACAAAAGAGGGTACGGCGTTGTATGGGTTTGAGCTTGCTATGTTCAGGCGAGTGGCGCATCAGGGTTCGGGCTTCTGTAGTTTTATCTTTCCAAGTCCTTTTACGTTGCATGATGGGGATGCGGTGGATGGATACCCGCCAGTTGGTAGCATACAATCACATGTTCATAAACTTCAATCGTGTTGGCTGTATACGTGCATGGTGATGTATCGTTGATTAATGTTCAATCAATCTGCCATGTGGTTCCGACCCCTTCATCCATCTACTCATCCTTTGCAAGCGCCCATCTACTGCTCATTGAGAGCAAGCTCAAGCCTTCTTCTTAGCTTTTCTCCTCTTCTTGTTAGCACCCAGCAGCTTGTTAGCAATCTTCGGCATCTCCATGTTCTCCACTCCAGCGGGAATATTGCCTTCCTCCTCATCGAAGACCTGTTGGGTAATGGCTAGAATGTCGTGTAGTTCGTCTTCAGTGAAACGTGTACCCGCCTTTCTGAGCGTCAGCGATCGTGCACGTGAAAGAGGTTAATCAGTAGTCAAGCATTACCTCCTCAATGACCAACTCTAGCATGACTTGCGTAGTAGGCCTCAAGTTATACAACTGGAGATACTCTGCCTTGTTCAGCCGGTACTTGGACGCCAGCGCGCGGAATAGGCTGTTTGGTCCTCGGTACAGCGTCATGGGCCGGTCGGGATGTTGGTCAGCGAGTGATGAAGTCGTGTAATCTGGGGTTTGCAGATAGGCGAGCCCCTTCCGTATGTTAGTCTTGTTCGAAAGTATACTTTGCACCATGAAACACCTACATCTCGCAACATGTGGTTTAGACCAGATGGCTTCTTGCGTTTCCGATCCGTCCCATCGGCGCCTGTGTATTCTGCGTCTTCTTGCCGCAGATGCAGGAGGACTTCATGGTTAGAGAGTAAGGCGGATTGGGGGGTTTTGATCTAACAGAAGTATCAGTGAAAAATGTCAGAGTGATGCCAGAGTAATCCGTGGACGTTGCGGAGAAGACCGAGTGCGAATATTGTACGATTGGAATATACAACTGAAAGATTGATTTCAGGATTCAAATGTGGAACTTACATGCATGTTGATGATCACGCGGCGCTCACGCAGTCTTCCGAGCCGATGCCGTGGGTGTCTAGTGATCACAAGATTGATTCGTGTAGCGGGTATACCTCGGTTGCTAATATATCCAAGTCAGATAGCTCCTTTGAACAAAAATTGCTTGTTTCACTCTAGCAGATTCGAGAGAAAAGACAAGATCTTGAAAGATCGCATATGATCATTGCAGAGCTTTTCGTGATGTTTCCGGATCTTGAACTCTATTCTTGACAGACGAAAGAGGCTAGAGCCGCGAAAACGCGTTAAAAGAGCGCGTACCTGAAATGAGTGACCGCACTTTGCGAAGAAGCTCTTGTAGAAAAAAGACTTCTTTGAGTTTTGTAACAGTGCGTACTATCTAGGTACTAGCTAGAGTCACGTCTACATGGTGTTGGAGCCAAAGTGAGACCCGGTAGGTGAGCAAAGGGCAGTTTTTCGCGCTAGCGGCTTGGCACATCGAGGGTAGGGATGCCGTGGCGATAGATAGTGTTGGAGTCAAATCTGAAGACACTCAAGAAAGACGGATTGACGATCATTACTGGGTATCATTACTATGTTACTTGGTTCCTTTTGTGCTGTTCCAGACAGGTCTCAATCGATGCCGCTAACGCCGCGCAATGCTATGCGAAATTTGAGATCATCGCGACCCGAGATCATGATCTTCGTACACCCGTGACACCGTTGCCTCACGCCCAGTGTTCATATCTTCTCACCACATGTGCTTCCTCATCATATTCCTCTCTGTGCCCTGGCAGTAGCCCTTGTCTTTTTAACCATAAAGACACCAACTTCTACGCCTTTGCTTGGCTCACCATCGTGGTAGTCTCGCTCCGACACTCCCTCCAGAACAGCCTGGATCAGAGTCGCTGCACTCATCTCGGAGCTCGGGAGCTTCTTCGACTTGCTAAAATACTTGGTGATAACGTCCCGTACACGAGGCTTCTCCTGCTTGATCCACCAATCGTCCGCCCATGCCGACCGTTGCAACAAGATCTCCTCTTTCGCCGCATGTATGACCTCGTAGTTCGCCCTTTTCTCGGGGTTTGAATGTCTCTCAACCATTGCTTCGCAATATTTGCGGACTTGCGCTTCTAGGTGGTCGTATTCGTCCAGATAGTTGACTGAACTCATTTGACCTAGACTCCTGCCTAGCTCAGAGTGAAGGTCATGGACCACCGTTACGGTTCGTAGAAGCGGGTCGAGAATGGGTCCAAGGTACTGCTGCATGAAAGTCCTCGCGCCTGTTTTAGTCGGGTAGATGAAGAGAAGGACACCATCGTCACTAGACAGCTCAATCAGGCGGTCGTACAACAAGGATCTGCCCCGAAACGTGAACATCTCAGAGAACTCGTTCGTGTTCGTAGGTGGGATGTATCGCTCTACGATAGAGACATTAATGCTTCCAGGTGGCACAACGGGGCGAGGCGATGGAGGAAGGAGTTTTGAATCGAGTTGGTAATCAGGAATGGCCACTGCACTGTCGAAAACTTTGCTGGTAAAGTATGAATCCCCTCCCACAGCAGGACCAGGGGTGGATGGTGGAGACTTGGGCAGGTCCATCAGCGTATAACGGCCAGGAAGCGCATGGAATACATTGATCCATGAAGTTTGCGTTGACGATCTGTCATGAATCGAAGCAATAATCTGACCAAAGATATGGCCCGATGTCGAGGGGCAAGGAAGCGCGTGGGATAATATCTTGACTGAATCCAGGTCCAGGCATCCAGATTCAGTTACTAAGCTGCTCAGTACATAAAACTACGCATCACCCTAGTGTCAGAAGTACTCACTGATGGTGCGTTTGGCCTCCTCTATCCACGCTGCCATTCTAAGCGCGTCGCTGAACTCGTCGTGAAACTCGTCGTGAGTCGGTACAACGATGGGGGCTTGGGGAGGAGCAGTCGAAGTGGCAGTGCCGTGGAGGTTTGGCGACACGCCTGGCTCAGAATTAGGAGGTGAACCCAGACCAACCGTCCCTACGTTCACAAAGGATCCCCAACTGATCGTCCCCGGCTCCGTATCCGAGGGAGGCGTGTGAGTTGACACAAGATGTCCGACGCGGGCTCTAGCTGCCTTGGGACTGGTAACGGGGGTATGGCTGGCCCCGTTGGCGTGACTGAAGAAGTCGAGTGGTGGGCTGAGTGCATGGAGAGGGTCCTCTGGCTTTGAGAGAGGTCCAGCGCCTAGTGGAGAGAAAGACTGATGTGCTTGAGTTGGAATACGATCAGGGTGGGGCGCAGCAATGCCTAGTACATCAAACGAGGGTAGACGCAGATTGTGCGTACTTCTAAGGACCGTGGACGCGGGAAGCGAGAAGTTAGTTTGAGGAAGGTTGAGGGTCAGATCAAGATGTGGCCGGTCCTCGATGGTGGGAGTCCTAAGAGGCTGGGGTAAGACGGAAGGCAGCGGGAAAGGCTGCGGCAGAGAAGCGTCGAGAAACGAAGAGATGTCGTTGGGAACCGCTATGTCGGGGCAGGGACCCGCATCTATGCCTTCATCCGGCGTGGGTGGGATAGAGTTGGGCTGGAGCGCTTCGTGGGAGGGTTGCTGAAAGTGAGGAGGGGCAGTCTCAGCATGAAATTGCTGTGTAAGATGTGAAGGAGACTGGGGATCCGCCATCATGGCCAACGAGGTCTAAGATGTTTGCCGGCAACGCGAACAATCACGCTACGTGTTGGGTAAGTGGGATGAACAGACGCACGGAGACGTGGCTGAAAGATCTGGCGTCCAGGTACAAACGCGGTAGCGCCGCGGCGGCAGTAACGGCCGCGTGGAAGTATTGACAGGTAGGAAGGGCTGGCGGTAAACGAGTGAATGGAGGCCTGGGGGAGACCGTTGCTGGCTCCAAGACTTGAGAGCAACAGCAGCAGACCAGGCGAACGCAGTGAGTGGACTAGGTGGTGGTGGGCTAGGTTGGGTTCGCGGAGTGAATACCCGATGTTCGCTGCGGTTGATACTAGCGTGTTTTGGGGGGCCAGGGTCTCATCAGCAGAGATCTAGACCTCGGCCACAAACAATTCACACCAGCAGAATGGCCTGACCGCGCGTGGTTCTCCCTGCATACATGGTCGCCTGGCTCAATCGCCGTCAAGCCTGTCTGTCCATCGGTCTTTGTGGTGCCGTTGATTATTTCCACCGACGTCTATCATGTCCCTCCTGCACGACAAGCCCGGCTAGTCCTGAAGCTGCTTGATACGAATTGAACGCACGCCTCCCGTGGGGACTCAGTCGTGCCAGTGTACATGAATACGGCGCTTACCTTCCTGACTGCGGCACTGTTGTTGCGCTATAAGAGTGCAGCCTGTCTTTGACTCTGCCCGACTAGTCGGCAAACTGAAGAAACCCCAAGCAGCCCCACAACCCATGCTCACAATATCACTCATCATACGTTTTGGTGCGAGCTTACTGCGTGTGTGTCCCTACTCCCTTGGCTTTCCCTGCGCATGGTCTGACAAGCCAAAGCTATCTACCCGCAGTCACACAGAACAGCCACACTCAGCTGCCGCGACACGCTTTGCCCTACAAGGATAGGGGCCATGCGAGTCTAGGCTTCCATCGAGATGTCTCTCAACTCTGCCTAGCGAGCGCAGTTTTGGTTGACAGCGTTGGAAAACTTCTTTTTAGCTGGATGCGTCTTTGGTTAATGATCAGCGCTGTACTGCTCGTCACGGGATCTTCCGTTTGCGCACATTTCGATCTTGCCGCCACTGCATTCAGGGTTTAATCGTTTGATCCCAGTCTTGGTTTACAAACGTAAAAGTTCGCTATCAAATGTGCGACCGATCCACTTGTGCATCCGCTGCAAGACATTTCTCACAAGGACCATCGAGCGAATCACCTTGCTTGTTCCCCCGCCTGCATGGGAGAATCCGGCGAAGAAGCGTAAACACCATGCCAAGCTGTTTGCACTTGTAGACTACAACAGCTCACAGTGAGCTGTGGTGCAGCAGCTTGCTATGACTTGTTCTCAGGGGTTCTCTCCTTCTTTCCTCATTAGTCCAGCTCTTCTTTCATCCAGACACTTCTCTCGAATCGCTACGCCACCACTGTGTCGACATAGATTCAAGTATCAAACTATCCACATTAGCACCAACCTTAACATGGAAATGAGACGTGGTATAACGTACTTGCCACTTCTGCAGTCCCCTCTCTCTTCCTCCAGCTGTACTTGCACTAGACTTTGACGCCATCTTCGGCTCGTGTAATTTCACATACTCCTGCGCAAGGATGGGGCACGCTTTCTTGTGCGCCTTAAAATGCGCCTTTTGGCAGTCTTTGTTGCAGTAAGTAACCCTATGGCACTTGATGCACTGCTTAAGCGAGTCCGGGGACTTTCCACATTGCGCACATGCCTGAGGTGGTGCTGTCGACGACGAGGAAGTGGGCGTTGGCTCTGCAATGGGGGGTTGTGACGATGCTGAGTTTGATGATTCTGGCTGTGTGGTAGGTGCAACGTCCGGGTTGGCCGTCGAATCCGCCATTTTTCGAGAAACAGACAAGTCAAATCTTCCAGAAGATGGGTGTGATAATTGCCAAACGCTGTCTCTGATGTCGTTGTGCTTTCTCTGGATTCACCTAACAGACGCCAAAAGTTGAATGCGATCGACATTGTGCCTGCAGGGATAGAATGCAAGCGACAAGACTAGGTCGATTTCGTGCTAGCCTCGAAAGTATCAGTTACTAATGTACTCTGCCACGACACAGCCACTGTGCAAGATGTCTCACGAAGTAAGTCATTGCTAATTTCACTTCATCACTATGACTCCAGTGTCACGGCTGCTTTTGTGGCGTCATGAAGCTCGGTAACGGTAACATAACATCTCGGCAAGGACATGAAGCTGCGAGACTATCCAAAGCCAACGGTCATCAGCTCGTTGCATTGTCCCAATGGCCCTATCCTGGTCACAATGGCATGTCTAAGAAACCTCACTGTGATTCCCCAGAGCGTGTGTTTGTGATTCAAAGCAAGATTTTGTTCTCTGTCGCTACTACCGTCCTCTTCGCCAGTTGTTCCTTTGTATGCCCAGATAATCAGCCACTTGTGTTGTCTTGTCTCTATCCGGCTGCCTAGATATCTGCGTCGGAACAACAAGACAATCTAAGTGTTATCAAGCGGGCACTCACTGTATTTCGGTCTTCACTGTGATACAGTCGGTGCAGCAGCCTCAACATCCCTTACGCACGCCACTCTAGTGGACGATCAAAGCTATATCGACCACTTCAACTTGCTGCATCGAAGGCAAACAAGTTTTAGTATCCGTTATTTGCAGTATAACCGGGTTCATGGAGGATCTGTTAACTTTCCTCCACTCGCTCCGTCAGCTATAGGATGTTTCTCACTGATTGTCAAGGCATCGGACCCGGCGACATGAGTCCAGAAAAGCTGTTAGGACTGCAAGAGAAAGGCACTCATGAAAGCTCGGGACGAAAACTTGCAAACACCATATGGAGGGAGGGAGAAAACTATCGGTATGCGAATCGATAGATGTATGTCGTAGTAATGTATCCTACACTCATCTTGGGTCATGGCAATTTAGGCTGGCAGATATAACCCACGACAGAGTTGAGTCCATGAGGTGCTGAGGAGGTACCTTGCTTGCTACATCGAGCTGCCATCAACCGTGCTATGGGACTAGAGTACAACTAGTTCACGCGACTGGATCCCTCTCTGACTCTTCTGCACATGTCCCCGTTCTCGTTCACGCTGTTCCACGCCCAACCTCTCTCAACCAATCTTCGCAACACAATCCTGCAGCCACTTTTCTATGTTGAGCCTCACAGTTTCCTGTAAAAGCTACACATTCGCGTCTCGATTGCGCCGATATGCTCGCGCATGCTCAGTCATAGCGTTAAACTCCTGTTGTCGCCGCTGCAGTTCTTGGCGATCCCTTTCGACGCGTAGTTCACGTTGTGCTAAATCTCTCTCACGAGCATCCAGAGCTGATGTACAGCGTTGAAGCTCGGCTTCTCTAGGATGAGGTAACGGTACTTTCTTACTTGATCCACTTCCACGCATAGTGCCTCTGTTACTTGGAGGCTGATCGGTTATTCCTGGCGCAGGCCGGCTGTTCGTTGGCCTACCTTTCGGCTGTTGTGACGTGTTTGAGGCTGTTGTTACTGGGGCAGCTTGCTGACCAAAGGGAGATGTCCCGGAGAAGGGAAACCCATTAGCGAAGGGAGACCCCTCGGAGAAGGGAAACGTCCCGAAGAAGGGAAACCCCTCAGAGAAAGGAAACCCGCCGGAGAATGGAGTCGTAGGCTCCTGACCGTGGTGTGATGTTGATGGCACCTGCGGTCGAGCTACAGGCGCAGACGGTCGACTATTGCGGATGTATGGCCGTGGCTCACGCTGAGGGAGTGGTACTGTTGCAGGTGGTCGAGACGCGGAATCTTGGGTGAGAGGCGCATCATTTGCCTCATTTTCCAAGCTCTGATTGCGGGCCGATACGTCCTGGTACTCTGCTTGAAACCATCTAGTGCGACACAGCGGACAAAGGTTCGCGGTTCCTTGGGTTTTGCGACGGGAGAAGATCTTCTCGAGACAATGGCGACAGAACTCGTGGTTGCACTGAGCTGGCGGCTGCACTACGATGCGGATCGCCTGATGAATACCACGATCGTACTCCTCAGTACATATCGGACAGTGAGCTTTATCGGATGGATCGCGCTCGCTGCATGGCCTGAAACAACGGCGCATGAAGTCGTTGAAGGCGAGTGGCCGTGTTGCCATATTGATAAGATGCTAAAGAATGTTCTCAGCGTGGTGTGGGAAAGTGAGTACACTACAAAGATGTTACTATCGGAGAAATTGCGGTTAGTGTTGAAGAAGGTGCGGGTGTGTTGATGAGTCTAGAAGGAGATTTCAAGACCCTACAACAAGCACATAAAGTTCGCGTTCACCAGTGAATTCCTGGACACAGAGCCACTGGTGTAGCTTGAAGACTTAGTTCATGTGTGGTGGGATAGACGGAGTCGTGAGTTGCATGATGTAGTAGTTCACACATCGTGGTAATCCGTGGATAGTTGGTATGATCAGTAGTTGCTGTGGTCTTTCGTATCTGTTCAATCTTAGCAATAGACCATGCGGGTTCTGTGAATAAGATCAGGTGATCGTGGCTACTCATATGGGTACTGAACTACGCTATCCTGTCCCTATATCATATTACCTAGGTAGCATCGAGGGGATCGTAAATCGTGGGGATCAAGATTGATGAAAATTTGAAGTTCAGGCGAAGAAGCCTGGTGGATGCACTCCAGCAAAAATACGTCCACTGTCATGCAAACCTATACCGTGAGCAGCAGGCCAACGATCCTCATCGCTGGTAAAGTAGTGATCCAGTAACTGGTCGAGTGTACATGCGTATCGATCTACCTCTGCTGACAGCATGCGTATATGCAGTTTTGTAAGGGATTCCGAAGCACATCGGCACCTCTTCTTGTTTGCAGTGCTTCAAAGATCAAGGTAAAGTGTGTGATGGTGAAGAGTTGATCAAAGGGGGCGATGACCTCATGTGCGCATTGCGCCATTGGCTGAATTGCCCGAACCCAGCCACGCGCCAGCCTTGTCTTATCGCAAACATTGACAGCTCGTCGCACATCGCAACGAAGTCCACCTCTAATCCTTCGCAGTGATGTAGGTATGCGCCAGCTTGTTTCGCTCAGGTGAATGTATAGGTCAAACCGGGAGGAAGGCGTGTGCTAATGGTCAAGTTGTTTTGCTAAGTCTTTTTGCTAAGGCAGGTACTTCTCATGTCTACTGGCAACATTGTGCAACCATTCGTTCTTGCAGAAGACTTATCTTCGCTGCGCCACTGTAGAGGCCCATGGCTGGGTCAGATGTGTTCGCCCCGAAAGTCAGCAATGACAACACAGCTATTTGACTCGCTACGCCGAAGCTTGGGCTCCGTGTCAGCCTAGGTTCAGACGCACAGAGTACGGACTTCGCCAAAAGTCCGTTGCGTGACCTCCGTCCGTAAATCTGACTGTATGAGCCAAGAGCGTGCACGCACATACCGGTGCACACATAGTCCGATGCCTACCAGCATACGTAGTCCTGATGGCTTTGTTGGTCTAATAGCAGATCCAAGAGACGCGTATATCGCGAGAATGGCAGCGGTATGAGGGACCTGTCCGAAGTAATCAAAGTGTTTGCTAACATCTACAAAACGTCTTTTTGCTATCCATAGTGAGCATTGGTCAAGTGCATCCGAGAGATGGAAGAAGCCCCAGCATCATACGAGTAAATCGCCCAACTTTTGATGTATCGTTGAACCCTTCTGATGATATCGCTGACATGAACAAAGTGGTACTAATAGCAATGAGTCTCGTTGAATACTTGTCCGAGACGTGCTTGGGGTACTAGAAGGCGTCAAGGGGATGTACAGGGCGGGCGTTTCCTGTGGCTTGATTAATGCGGAAAATGCTGGAGGTACACGCGTCAGGACCCCAAGTTTGGTGACATCCAGCTTTGATCTTACGTGTGGCATAGAGGTCGGCAAGGCTATATATCTTGTCTTCGCAACATGGTTTCGTTGCTTCACCACCCATCAGCTCCAGCTTTCTTCCAGATACGTATCTTCCCTACCACCACCATGAAATCTCTCCTGTTCTTTTCAATCATACCTTCCACTCTTGCACTAGTCGCACCGCTCGAGCGCCTGAAACCCAATGTCTATAAACGTGACGCACATTGGGAAACAAAGTCTTGGTCCCATGGTCCCGACACCGCCACCATTACCGTAACAACGACTTTGATTGTCACCATTAACGCCATCCCGACAGATGATGGAACGTTTCCCAACACCACTACCACGGAAACGAGCGTGACAGCGACATCCGGCGACGGCCTCGCACCAACTACGTTGATCACGCAGCCCAGTGGGGCTTCTACGCCGCAAGAGACAAGTGATATCCTAGCACCTATCACGTTGATCGATCTCAGTACGGCATTTTCTCTGTCTACCGCCACTGGAGATGCGGATGGCGCCGCACCTACACCAAATGATATCGAACCAATTACGTTGATCGACATCAGCACTGCGACCCCCATCTAGATGGAATCAAGACTGGAGGAAGGTTGTGGAAGAGACGTCGGTATGATACGACGTTGTATTGGTATAATCAGAGAACCCGTAGCTGGAGGATTATTGTGGTCTGCCTCGTGATGGAAGTGGTTTCGTTGTACATATTGTCTTTCTTTGGGTCTTGAATCTAACACACTCGCTTGATGCGTTGACTAGGTCTTACACCATTAACAATGCTATTCATGCCGTTATGTCGGGAAGATCATTGGTAGTAGTCTGCGTTCACGCTATCCTGAACACAACGCACGAATAACAGAGGAATTTGGAGTATGGGAATCGGCGTCCGAAGTTTTGCACAAAATTCGTTTAGACCTCAAAAGGTTTCGAGGATCGGTCGTTAGGATAAATGAAAGACTCCTTGAGGCCAAGAACCTGCACCATCAGTGGTCTGCAACAAGTACTCTCTTAGTGGCAGCTTTCAAATAGCTCCGTCGCACTCAACCGCATACTACTGCTGACTTTGCTGCCTCTTCTCACATGTTTTGCTGCATATGGCCTGCCGTAAATTAGCCTCTCTCTGCCAAATATATGCCAAAGACAGTATGACTTACACGTCTCCAACGACCTTCTTCAGGACCAGACTATCCACCCATTCCCCCTTGATCATCTCTTTCTCCTTCGTGAGGCTGTGTCTTTCAAACCCCAGCCTTTCTGCTAACTTCCAGCTTCCCTCGTTCCTTGGATCACACTCAATCTCCATTTCTAGTTTCCCTTGATCCTGCAGTCGTTCCTTCAGAGCATCAATGAAAGCCGTCATGGCTTCGGTAGCGAAACCTTGACCTTGCATAGAAGGCAAGAAGGAAAACCAGAGGTTGGCATGGGTGACTGGCTTGATGGTGGTTTCTCCTGGTAGGGAGTCGGAGTTCGCTTGAGACGTCTTGGCGCCTACGCGGCCGATGAACTGCTCGTCGAGGTTTTCGACAGCAAGTTCGTACTTGGTTCGGGGTACATCGTTGTGGTTGCGAATGTTCTCCAGGACGAGCTGACGAGCTTCTTGGCGTGTACGTGGGGGCCATTCCTGATAACGTGCGTTTTGCTCGTTTCCCTCGAGAAGAAAGTAGCTTTCCTCATCCTTCATGACGAACTCGCGGAGGAGCAAACGACGTGTTTTGATGGCGCCAAAGCGTTCGCCTTTTACATTTGCGCGGGCGATGGCTGCGAGTTCTTCCTTCGTCAGAACACCAGAGGCTTTGAGTATCTTCTGAATGACATTTCCCTTGCCGATCATATAGTCGATGATGTTGTTTGTCTTGGCTGCAAGTTCGAGCTTCACACGTGCATATTCATCCCTCAACTCGACGTTTGAGCGTAGCGTGTCACGTAAGCTGAGATGATTGCGCGTTTGTGCAACACCGTCGACGCACACATAGATGTTATGGCGCAAAGACTGGTTGGGGTCTTTGAAGACATGACGGTCCTCGATACCCAGTTCCCCAAGGTAGTCGAACTTTGCCTTCGCTATGAGAGTGTCGATAGCAGGCTGGACATTGTCGCGAGTAACTATGATGTCGACATCGATGATAGGTTTGGCGACAAGGCCAGGCACTGATGTGCTACCCACGTGTTCGATCGATAGGTAGTCGACGTCCTGAAGGTAATGTTCCAACTGTGACTTGATACTTTCGAATTGCTGCGGCCATTCCTTGTTGTATTGCTCGATGATGACAGACATGATCGCTGATAGAAGGGAAAAGTAAAGTGCAAAGCCGGTCAAGCTGGCGATGCCTGATAGAGGTCAAGCAGGTCAATGTGTCGGCTAAACCTACCGAGCTTGTGAAACGCTCTCGCTTCTCACCCGGGTGCTCCCGAGGGGTGCAGGAGCAAGAATGTCGGTGTAATAAAAAGCATGAAAAGGGCACAAGAATGAACAAGAAAGCGGATACCCGAGATTGATGTCGTACATACAGCCAAGATGCCGCTTGCGCACAAAGGGCGAATGCGACGCGGAGATACGGGCGAGTCTCCGGCGCGCTTGGTTTGATTGCGCTCCAGCCCTTCAGCCCTTCCCACATAACGAACTAATCATACTCTTCAATCTTGATCACCGGGATGTCTGCGTACGGTGGAGGGGCGTCGCGGCCCAACAAAGCAGTCTCGGCATCCGAGTCGGTGCTTGTATTTTCCTGCTGCCTTCGCAAGAACAGGCGACGAGCCATGATGAGGCTAGCCGCAACCAGTGCAAAGAGCGGAAGAAGCAGGGTATTTCCTCCAAGCTGTATTTTGCCAACGAAGAAGTTCCAGGTTCTCGACCACGTGCCAATTTTGCCATACTCGTCCCATTCGCTTGGATCGAATGACGTTTGCATCATAGCCAGCTTTCCACACTTCATCCTAGGTGGTTGCATTCTGTTCTTGGCCTCAACAACTTGTACGTCTTGGATGGAGAGGATGTAGGGACCGCCCAAGTTCTTGTCATACACAAGGTGCTCATCATATTCCTTGTGCAACAATATCTGAACGACCTTCTGACCCATCTTGATCGGCTCAGGTCCTTCTCCCCAGGGCAGACCAGTCACGTTGAATTGAAGCCACAAGTGTTCGGGCTTTTGAGCGCGAAAGATGGTATGCTGGTATTGGAGCGGAAACATCATTCTCCTGTGCTTGTTTAGCTCCAATGTGTCGTTGTCTTCGTCTTCGGATTCCATCTCGTCCTGCTGCATATTGGTGGATACCTGTACGGCATTGATATGAAGGGGCATGGGGTCCAGAGGGAAGATGCGATTGCCGTTGAGGAGTAACGCATCGTTGAACTCGGTCATGTCGAACTTGAGCAACTGATTTATGGTTAGCAAGCGCAGCCTCCTGCATGCGATGGGATACACCCACTAGCGAGCTGTTCGGAGGCGGATGTAGCCATTCCGCCTTTTCAGGGCTCGTCCAGGCACGAACAGGGCATCCGACGCATCCCAGCTTCACGGTGTATTCCCGGCCCGCCTCCCTCTCGATGACTTCATCCTGATCCAGTATGTTCTGTGGTGTGATGGCCGCTGCAGCCAGGGCCGAGAGACTAAGAAGAGCGAGTGAACGCATGGTAATGCTGAACGAAAATGAGAGAAGAAGGAAATACAATGTTCGATTTGACTGAGGTTCGCACCAGGAGGCGGGAGATGGCCGACGATGCCGGGCGACGCGTACACACAAGCCTCGGGCTACGGCACGCTAGCGCAGGGACCATTGACGTGGGGGATGCTGATTTTAGAAGCCGATCTCCCTCTAGAACGAATGGTATCGATACTGTTCTTTGCGTATGTTAGACTGTTAAGCTGTACAGTGCTCGCGATGGCTGACGATCGTGTTCGCAGGTGCATCGGCTTTGATCAAAGCCAACGCAGCTCATCACCGATTTGTTATCCACAAGGGAGTAGCACAATACACCTCGTTCGAAGACAACGTTATTACTACGTCTTAAAATACTGTGACTGACGGGTAGAGGGATATGGCTAGGGCAGCTCTACCAGCTTCCTCATCAATTCCTCAGTCATCGACCTGGCTCAAGCACGGCATGGAGTTATACGAAATTTATGATCTTGGTCAACAGTAATGTCTCGCTCTGCTACTAGCCTCCTAGCTCCCACGCTGGCTTAACAAACTAAGCAACGCTATAGTAAACCGGAGCTAGAAGTAGCGCGAATGCTATATAGGTGCGAGACTCGATTTTGTAATTTGAGTGCCAATTGATGAGCTTTCTACAGGCTGTCTCTCATGCCGATGGTATACGCAAAGTGCATGAAACATGTTGCTCCATCTTCTACCACGTGGACTGGGTATTTCTTCGTACCTTAGCATAGCGGTGGGAAGCTTCCGATGAAGTATGAAGTGGAGAGCAACCAAGAGATTGCTTGCTTCTGGACCGGATGCTGACCTCGTTGCAACCTTGTGCAGAAAGATTTGGAAATTGACTATCAGCAGACACAGAAGATAGTGCGGGTAGTGTCACAGCTAGTGAAGGTTGAGCCAATGGCTCTACCAACGTTGCTGGAGTCTTCACTAGCGACAGAAGCAGTGTTCACTTTCACCCTCGACCGAGCAAGCTGATAAGACTTTGGGGCTCATAGACGGAGGTGTCATGCTCGCATGGCAATCCGAAGTGATTTGGGTATGACCAGCAAGCATGCATCTGCTCGTACAAGCGATGAGCTGGGAAGATGGCTCGTCAGATGCATAGTTGACAGAACCATCAATCGAAGAGGATTTCACTCCTCTTCACTCTCTTCGCTGCTGTCTCCGCCCTCCAAGCCTCTCATCATTAGCGCCTCAAGATCATCTTCGTCGTCGTCGTCGTCGTCGGCTGCCGCGACTTCACCAACATCGCTAGGCTTTCGATCGTGGCCCGTTGTCTCTTGTCGGGCAGGCGGGCCGATGTCCATAGGCTCGATGTCCCTGTTGTTGTAGTCATCGTCATCGTCGTCTTCACCTTCTGCGTCGTCGCCGCCCAGATCACCAAAGTCAATCTCATCCTGGGCGTTGCGATTGCGTGCGTGTGGGTTTGGCGAGCCTTCGACGTCACTGTTGGCTGCGCTAGCGAGGGAGATGGGGCCGTTTGAGGGTGAGCGCAAGTAGCCTGCACCAAGGTTCTGACCAAGGCCTAGAGAGGCCAAGGCACCGTTGTTGCGTCGTGGTGGGCGGGCATCGGGCACTTCAATCTCCAGACCGCCGTCGTCATCTGACTCGCCCTCTGCGTCATCACGATCATCATCTTCTTCTTCATCACTGTGGTGTTGTTGGCCTTGGTCAGGAGGGGGCGATGAGCGCGCGGGGGATGAAGCCACTTCGCCGTCGGATTCGTCAGACGAGTGTATGACTTCGGAGGATTTGATCTTGGGTGCTGGCGGTGCCGTAGACTTTGCCTTGGGCTTTGACGCGGTATCGGTTGCGGTGCGTTGGAGGCGGACGGCTGGTGTGGCTTGCGCCTTCTTGGGCTTCACCATGGGGTTCGCTGTCGCTGTCTTGCGCTTCTTGGGGCCCGGGGCAGTCATGGGCTTCCGCGCGGGAGCAGCAGCCGCAGTCGGGCGAGCGCCCAGCTGCGGTGTGTTGACGGCGCTGCCCGTGCCAGTCCTGTAGTCTGGCGAGGACGCGTAGCGATATTCCGACTCGTCGCCGCGTTTCTCCTTCTCCTTGCTCAAGAAGTGCCGGAAGTCGTAGGGGTTGTCCGCGTCAGGATCGCCTCCCTGGTCGTCAGCTGCTGCCTCGCCAAACAGGTCCTCTTCGTCGTGTTTGTCTTGGGCATCGTCCTTGAGCTTCTTGGGATATATCTTGGCGTGCTGCGACGAGACGTCTTTGCCGTTCCTGGTGGCGAGGTTGAACGTGTAGCTGCTGGAAAGAGGCTCAAGCGTGGCCTGCTGGTTCGCGGCATCGAAGACGAGGACATAGGACTTCTTCGGTTGTGACTTTTGTCCGGTGAAGGTGAAGACGTCCTTGTCGCCCGAACTGCTCGTGTCGTCAATGCGGAGCTTGTAGAGGTTGGCCGAGGTGGGCGGTGTCAGCGTTGTAGAGCGCGATTCCGTCGTTTGCGAGGGTTTGTGGTTGTCTACGCTGCGCATCAGCCAGCGGCCATGGACGAGGAAAATGGCGGACAAGACTCACATTTGACACTGCTGAGTTCTCCGAGAGCATCGTCGCTGCTGCCTATGCGGTCGCTGATGTGCAGGCTGAAGTGCGCCTTCTTGTGAGGCTCGATACGACTCTCGAGCATAGGGGACGCCATTTTACTACGCGTCCACCTCCAGCATGCAGGCTCGGAAGCAGAAAAACAAAGACACGCAAAGCAAGCAAAGACTGCGAACGCTGCCGAGGCCAAGAAGATGCGCAGAAAAATAGAATGACTGTCGTTTGCTGAGCCCGAGAGTTGGTGGGTGTTCACGTCAACTCGCAACGCCGGCTGGTCTGGATTGGGATGCTCCGCCTGCCGTCCTCCCGCAGCTAGTCTCTCCCCACATTGCACCGCTAGTTTTAGTCTGCTTCTTCCCATCTCATCTCATCTCCACTTCCGCCTTTTTGCTTCTCTCATCACAGTCATTTTGCCAAAAGCGCACGGCTTGTCATCAGCCACGTCAGTTGCACACTGTACTGCACGCCATAGCTGCATATCCAAACAGTTGTATTGCCGTGCATCACTATCATCGCTAAGGCTGTGTCCCGCAGGCGGACCAACTAGCTCGAGCATGTAACATCTTACAAGTCGTCGGTGTATCTTGTAGTCTTTGCCCCGTCTACAAGACCACCTTGTTCAGTGCCAACCTGGAGGGTTTGCAGCGCTTTCCTTTGCTTCCTCCTTTGCCAGAGGACTCGAGCAAAGAAGACCATACAAAGCCCAAGGACAACCATGCCACCAACCATGTACAAGCTCGATGGCTTCGCCTGGTCATCTTCATATGGTAACCCCTGAGGAGCGTCAGACGTGAAAGCGCGCCTCCCTCTGTCTTGTGGTGGCGTCTTGTTGATGACGGGAAACGCTTGCGAAAGACCGCCTTCCATCGTGCCAGGGAACCCAAACGCGCAGACCATCGTATCCGTTTCCGCAGTGAAATCAAATTTGACTGGAACTTTGACCATACCCGATCCCATCACGTCGAAACTTGTAGACCATATTCCCCCATGGTTCGGCCTCTCGTCTGACACGATGGTCAAATTCATGTAATTTGAAACATCAGAGAGAATGCTTGGTAATCCAAGTCATGCAGCGAGATGAACTTACAACAAGACTCCCAGTCAAACTGTTCCTGACTACTCTGATCCCCAATTTTCTGCTGGCAGGGTTTGCAGTAGAGATTTCGATGCAACGCAAAAGGAACATCAAAATCCCCGGGCCATGTCAGCTCGACGACGTCGTTTACGAATAGGGGAGTAGCACCAAAGCCTGAAGTAGGCGGATGATGAGCTGATGTTTCAAGGTATTGCTCGACCAAGAAGCTAGAGCTCTGAGGGTTCTTGTCAGGCATCAGAGATTTGTCGCCCGGCGCTGGGAATGTCCATAGAGCCTGGGTTGGGCAATCGCAGTCTTCGCCCTTGGAAGCCATCGTGTAGATATGTTGTGGTTTGTGAAAGGTGTTGACGACTAAGAAACTGGAGAACTGTTCCTTGAAGACATGTTATATGAATGGAGATTATGCGCGCATAGCGATAAACTTAGACTACTCCGGGTAACAAAGCGCTATCGAAATCTAGCCCTCAGCCCCGTGCAGCTGTCGTATGTGCCGCTGACGACTGCTGTGAGTGGGCTACGTCAGAATCAGGCGTTCTCTATCTAACGCAAAATAGCGGAGTGGAGTTCGCGTACAGCTGCTACGCGCAAGGCTGCTTGCATCAAACACGCAGCTGTGGAGGCGAAGCACCGAAAACCAAATCACAAACGTAGAAACGCCGGTGCCTTGAGTTATGCGCCAGATACTTGATTCTTAGTGTGACAGTTGTTGTTGCATTAGCTACATGTTATGATGGGCTCGATGCTACCCTCCCACCAGCACTGATCTCTGGGAACGCATGGAACGAATGAGTAGAAAGCCGATACGTTATGTGTTGGCGCAGGCAACCGTGTTTCGAAGACTTGGAGCGAAGTAACAACTTGTGTTGAGCACAAAACGAACAGATGATTGTACAAAAACGCGTCACGCAAGTGACCAGTTGGAGTGGTGAGAAGCCAAGGCCGGTCGCAGACAACTATGCACACATGTTGAGAGGCACGACTTCACGATTTCACCACGTGAGGAAGTACCTTACCTGTCGTTGTGGAACCTGATGTTCCACGAAAACTTTAACAATCTCGGCATCAAATCTGTGCAGCGATGACGGTGATAGTACATGAAGAATGACCTAACGTTATGAAGAAGAAACTTCTGACGATTGTACATTGAAGCGTCAATTTGTTCATGTACTAGAATTCTGGCAAAGCGGCAAGGTAGAAAGAGAATACGACTCAAAAGTGTAGAGACAGGAAATGCGTTAATAAGGTCCACGTGCAGCGATTTCGGTAATGATCAAGACGAAAATTCTAAAGGAAAAGCCTGTTACAGTCCAGCTCTCAGAACGGTAACTTAGTCGTCACTCTCTGAACTTTTGCAAAGTACTCTAATGTTTGGACTTCGGTACTCATCCTGCTGAAGTTCATCTCCATTCGACTATCTTATCACAACCAGTGAACAGGGATTAACAGATTTGAAGCCTTGAACAGTCTTACGAGCTTCTTTTCGCAACGGTTTTGCACGTATCGACCGATACTTAGTATACAGGTCAACATCCATGCCCGCATGGTCAACGTGAATAGCCATATTAAATGTATTGCCTCTGCCCTGTTGGCAGCGCACGGCAAGGTGTTGGCAATCTATCGGAGTATTGAAATTATCCGAACGCAGTACAGAACCACAATATACATGCTGGTGGATCTGCCAAGCAAGGTTAGTCATCAGGAACAGTACCTCACGATTGGTCTGGCAATACTGGTGCTCGAATCTGTCATCCCAGACATGGATTTGTGAGTTGGTCAGCTAAGGAGTGGGCCCATAGTCAATGTTGGCACGATGACTTGCGACTTAGCGGTATCGTTCTTTTGAGAACCTTGAAGGCAGCTAAGACACAGTATAAAATGCAGCAATGCAGCCTTCGTGACGATCCATCGCTCCGCTGGGAAGGCATCGTTTTCATAATTCCCGTCGTTACAGTCAACTCGATTGCACCATACTCGCTCTGAACATATTGCACAACATGCGCTTCATGATTCCACAGCTCTTAGCATTGGCGGCCTCAGCTGGGGCTGTTGGTATCGCTGTTGTACTAAACAATTCAAAAGAACCTGTTTACGTATGGTCTGTTGGCGGCTCAGTCGGTCCCCGTCATGATATTAAGGCTGGTTGGTACCAACGCAGGATTTGACTTAAGCCCTAGCTGATGATTCCAGGTGGTATCTACTGGGAACAAATGCGTCGCGATGAGAAGTCTGGAGGTATTGCAATCAAAATTACAAAAACCGGGGATGGTCTGTACACAGGCGCCCCTCAGCAGGTATGGGCATATAACCTGGATGGTGCTTCGGTCTGGTACGACCTCAGTACCGTCTTTGGGGATCCGTTTGCTGGTAGCCGTTTAGAAGTTGCTGGAGATAATGGGGGTCTCATCGTATGGGCAAACGGGACTCATCCGGGAGGTAGCCAGGTCGCGTCGGCCCCGAGCGAGGGAAACATATTTCTCACTATCGATCCTGCTGCTTGAGCATTAAAAGATAGCTTGAAGGTGCAAGGGACTAGAACGCCCGAGAATGGCTCGGTGGAATTGTCTAAGTGTCACTGCCCCAACGGCACGTGTGCCGTTGATGCCTCACAGTAGAGCAACGTGATGAAGCGACATCTGTGAAAGACTTATCAGACATGTTCAAGTCAATCGAGTTTATGCTCACGTCGTACGGCCGTTGGAACCGCCCAGAAAGTATTTCGATAGTCGGACAGCTAGCAGCGGTATGGTGGGCGATCATTACTCTACTCGATTCGACGACCGACAGCGCACGTGGGAATCGGGAGCTCCTACCAAATCCAGTAGCCATCCAGAAATGTCCAAGGTGGTAGTCGCCACAAATGTGGACGAACTGTCAAGCGTGCAAGGCGTGGGGTCGGCCGTGCTCTGAAGGTGAATTGGGTCTTCGGGTCGACCTGTGCGCAGCCTGCCACCATCTCGAGCGGCCTTGCCAACTCAAGTGACCACCCCCTTAAGCAGTATCGACTACTTCGTCTCGAAAGGATAGTGAATGCTGGAACTGTGTCAATATCCTAGAGGATGGCGACCGACAGCTGTTTGTGTGATGCCGCGCTCTGCTGTGCCCTGTTCCGTGCTGCCGTCTCGTTGCGTCCAGGCTGCCCCAGCTGAGGCCTCAGTCGCGTGGTCGCGAGTCATTGCGCCGTTTTCGCTTGCTAGCCACCCAGCTATCATGGGTGTTACCATCCAGCCGAGATGCCGCCGCACAGCCTTCATAGCTAATGCTATGCCGCAATCTGCCTTCATCTAGCAACTGCACTTTCTCATCTTACCTGTTGAGTTGGTGGTTTGTGTAGCCTCGGTTGTGAGGACCCAACCGGCTGTGTCCTATCTCCAGTCGCCGTCTGTCACCTGCATGATACCACTGCATGATAGCAAATGCAGGCGGTATCGCGCCATGAGCATCGGGTGATGCAAAATGGAGCCGCATCTAGGTGCTGATCCTTCCTCTGTCAGCACGATCAACTTTCGCAAGAGTGCGATATGCGATAGGCCTGAAGTGGAGCATGCCCACCCCTTGATTCTTGCGACATCTCTTAACCCCTCGTGAAATGCTTGGACAAGACCAGATGAGAAACCCATCACAGAGTGTCACGTATTAGCCGCCCTTGGGTATGGTTGGCGTGCAGAAAGCCCGGCACCGCTCATTGCTAGACGCGATGCCGCCCCGCTCCAGGAACGGCCCTCCGCAAAAGTCACTGGCATGCTAGTTTAGCATCCGTCTCCCTGCGTCTGTAATTCGCTTGTTGCACCATGTCTTATCAACCTCCCGCCTGGAAACACCCTGGTCACATTGCACATGGCGGCCGCTTTCGGGGCCACGCAGACCTTTCGAGGCAAAAGGCCCTACCTCGCCCTATGCCAACGGCGCTGGAGCATGCGCCTTCTATTGCCATGCTCCTGGTGATTGGCTTCTGGGCGGCGACCCGAAGCCATGTATTCGTCGCCATGCCGCTTGCCACAACTAGAAGCGTTCCGAGAGGCGGATCAAATTCTGTACCACAATCAAAAGCCGATGTTTCTGGCCCCGCTGACGCCTAACAACAGTATCGTCTTACTTACTGAAGGCTGAAGGCTGAAAACCATTCTTCCGCGTCAGTCCGCGTCATCAATCTTATTCCCACTGGACATCACTGGAGATGATCATCAGCTCACTACTGGTCGCGCGACTCATGTCTTGTACCAACACACACGATTCGGCAACATAAGAGCTTTACCTAATCCCACCACTCGACAAGATGAGCGCGAGGACGTTAACGAACGTCGTGAACGATCAGACGGTTGCGCTTAACGCACTGATTTACGGATACGCGGGGCACAGCCTGGTCACCCCGCAACACGCCCTCCAGCAGATATGGTGGACCGAAGAGCGAATCAACGAGAAAGTCAATCATGAATATGTGACCTCGAGGTTGCAGCCAAAAGAAAGGGAACGTCTCACCCAGCCTGTAGGCTTCGGCGACTTGAGCGACGATACCTACATCGAATGGATACTGGAGAAGGCGCGACGACTATTTCTGATATTGGTAGAAATTGGCGAAGCGGATCGAATTTTCGCTGTCGTCGATAGATCGTGGGACGACGATGATCTACCTCTCGAAATGGACGACATCGAACAGCTTTCGCTCTCAAACCGACGCGATAATCACGCCAATGCTCGCTTCTATCACACCCAGTTCACGTTCTTATTGAGAGAACTACGAGAAGGCATACACATAGATTATGCGCCTAATGAGGAGATTCCAGTCGAAAATGTCATGTCGCTACCTGTGGCAGTAAGCTTGCAAGCTTGGTCGCGCATGCATCTCCCGAAAAAGCCCAAGGACATCTTCGTTCGTAGAAGATTTGCGCTAGGTGATGCAGAGACGCCAGACGCTTTTGAACAGGATTTCATGATGGACGTTGAGAGCGCTAGAATGGTCGAGCATGAGCACTTTGCGCCAATCTGGGCCTCGTATACCGCTAAAGGGGTTGGCTACATTGTCACCAACTTCGTAGGCCACCATACACTTCGCACATTCATCGACCACCGTAATCCCACCCAATACCAAAAACTACCGAAGCCCGATCGGAGATGGCTAGTGCTCAATTGGATGCATTGTCTGGCGGATGCCATTGCGACACTGCATCAGAACGGGTTCTGCCACTCTGCTATTCGACCTTCCAACATCCTTGTTGACGAACAAAACGCTATAGCCTTCAGCGACATCGGTAGTCTAGAAACGTTCCAAAAGGATAAAAAGCCCGATGCCATGGATGCCTACATATACAGCGCGCCGGAGGCAAACAACAGCGCAGGGCCGTTCGACCCAAATGGACCTGCACCGTCACCCGTCGTCCCGAGTACTCGACATGCATCAATAATGAGCAAGAGCTCGTCTGGATCCTCGAGTAGTAGTGGCTCACAACGTCAGAAGCTTACCAAGGCTCCTACAACCGATTTCTCTGGATTTAACTTCGGATTCAAGAAGTCAAAACAGAAGCCAGTGCCAAAGAAACGATCGCGAGTCCACGAATCCGAGACGGCAGATATATTCTCCCTTGGTTGCGTGTTCTTGGAGATCATTACGTTCATGCTCAAGAAGAAACCGCATGATTTCGTAAAGCACCGCACATCGAAACAAAGGACCAACACTGGCGGCAAGAATTCCCGGACGGACTCATCGTATCATGTCAATCTTGACAAGGTCGAGACTTGGATAAATCTGCTAGAAAAGGCCTCGTTCGAGCATGACGATGACGCATTTCGTGCAGTACCTCACATCTTGCAGATCATCCGAAGCATGCTTAGCAGAGCGCCCACAGTACGTCCTGCTGCGCGCGACGTTCGCGACAAGATATTTGATATTCTTTTCAACTATACGTCTATTCCTGATATACACTGTGGTGCCCACAAGCATGATGTTGGCATTGCAACGTCTTCGTACTCCGGTTCGGACAGGGCATCGCTAATGACGATGTCGACAATGAGTTCTATGAGCTCGAGTACCTCGGACACGGATACGATCCGCTCAAGCACGACCCGGGTGAGCTCGATACTGAACTCTTATTCCGACCGAACTACCTTACATGGTATTGAGGAAGACGACAGCTCTTCGATAAAGACGTTAGAGCCCATAATCGCCCCTGGCCACGTTGGCAAATCTTATGAGTCGCCTAGAGAAGCGCCCATGCCTCCAGGCTCTCCCACTTCGCCTATATCGCCACGTTCCCCTACATCTCCATCGTTTGCCCGCCCTTCTAGCCCCCTGAGGCCGACTTCATCAAGGGGAAAGTCGTGGTCTAAGCCGTTTATGCTGTTACCGTGAGGCTTGAAAGAAGTCTGGCCTCAGCATAAGGCTCAAGAAGGCATCCCTTTCAATACTCGGTTGCATGATCGGTAGCTTGAGATAGCTAGGCACCCTACGTACTTTGCGAGATTGTGGGGTTTTACACATCGGCAAGCCTGGGCTGCACGTGGCAGTACTCACCCCAGGACCGCAAGGTGACCCAAACAGCAGGATCAAGAAGGCAATCGTCGAAGAAAACAATGCTGTTGTGCGAAGGAGGGGTATGCACGTGGATCGTGGCTGCTGAAAACACAAGGCTTTGGTGAGCTATGATGCAGGGATTGTCGTACTTCCGCGGACGTGTGCATACCCCATGTTCCACACGCATACTTTCTACCCTTACTACATTATAGCGCAAGAATGCTTAATACATACCAACAACGATAACGCTGAGATACTGTCTCTCCGAGTGATCTTTTGAGCATCTGCTTTGCACACACGAAACCATCACGGGTTGACTCTGATCAGCCAAAGTTGCCGAAGCGGGGCCTCCCGGTATCCCGCTTAGTTACATCTACTCTGAATTCAAGGCTGCACTGTTGGTGACCCCAACCCCGACCCCAGGCCATGCTGCTCAACCCTGATCCTGTTGCACTCCTTATGGGATAGTCCATCGCTAGTATATTGAGGTCACTTGCGCAGGTCTCAGCATAAACACAACAATGCTAGAAGCTCGGCATACGTCAGTCGGTTTTGCAGACGTCCACGTGAAAACCCAAAGATTCTTGTATTCACGCTTTTCGACACATTGTAGTGCGTAGCCTGGACGCTGCACTTGACTTCTGGTCGTTGTTGGGTGGTTCGAAATCACAATCCGGCCCCATTTGATCCGAATGGTGCGGGGAATCCATCGGTCTGACAGCCAAGACGCAGATCGCAGCTGATCAGTACTTCCTCTGCATCTGACATCCGGCAGGTAGACATGCATCCCGGTATGCATCTACTGCGTTGCTCTAAGATCATGTCGTGGTTTCGCACTATCAGCCTTGCTGTGTTCGAGCCAACATGCTCATGCAGTAACTCTTGGACATACTGTAACTACTTGCCAGGAGTCAAGAATCTGATCAGCCGGTCCAGCCACGCGACTATTTTGGCATGTGCAAACCTGCGCCGAGCTATTCCAATACTGCAGTGATCGTCCAAGGTGTACAGCCACCAGGATCATCCCGCCGCTATCCCCAGAGCCAAGAATATCGATATGCAGCTACGCAGCCATCACAGGTACCTAGGTACCATTGAACTATGCCGCTATTAGTCACCTCCTTGCTGAAAAGCTTAAAAGGCGTCATCATCTTGTCAATCTTGACTATTCTTCATCGCAACCCGGATGCGCACCTGGTATCCGGTCCTGTCAATATGCAACTTAGTTTTGGTATAGTCGCGAGCTTCTTAGCATTGGCCTCTACCGCTCATACCGACAAAAAGATCTATTCACGTCAAAGCAATGGCACGGAATACAAAGTCGGATACACCCCTTTGAAGACAGACTGGACAGATACGGTGGGAACCAATCCATGGCCTGAATATCCACGACCACGCCTTCAACGGCCTGACTGGAAAAACCTCAATGGCGTTTGGGGTTACAGAAATACTACCAATGGATCAGACGCATCGCCTCCGTTTGGACAGACACTCGAGAATCCTGTTCTAGTCCCCTTCTGTCTCGAGAGTGCTCTTTCAGGTCAGTCCGCTCAGGCTTCCTACTAGGCACAGTACTGACGCTGCCAAGGCGTGACAGGTAAGGGTCGCATGTGGAGTTGGTACCAGACCACGTTCGAAGTGCCCACGTCTTGGCCCAGTGACAACAGTGTCATTCTGAACTTTGGCGCTGTTGATTATGAAGCCACCATCTTTGTCAATAGCCAGAAAGCTGGTTTCCATAGAGGTGGATACTTTGAGTTTAGTGTAGATGTGACGCCGTATTTGAACATGAACGGGACGAATGAGCTGTAAGTTTACCCACTCAGGGATTGAGAACAAAGCTGATGAGAACGCAGACTGGTATATTCCTTTGACCCGACAGATGTGGATGATGTTCAGATACCAATCGGAAAGCAAACCTTGAACCGAGGCGGAATGATCTGGTATACGCCTTGCAGTGGTGAGAAATGTCCCTGTACGAACTGCACGTGGGACACAAACTGACTTCGGACACGTATCTTTAGGCATCTGGCAAACCGTCTGGCTTGAATCAACACCGAAAGAGCACATCTCCAAACTCGATCTGACAGCAGACATGAACGGGAATGGTAAATGCAAAGCATATTTTCACATATGCCATAGCTAACATGACGAAGTGAATGTATTTGTGCATAGTAGCACCAACTCTACGAGCACTGCATACGAGATCACGGTTCATGAACTGAACTCTAATGACGCTAAGGCGACAGCGACGGGTACAAGCGGATCCTCATTTACCTTTACTGTTAGCTCACCGGAGCTATGGACTCCAAGCAGTCCGGTCTTGTATAACATCACGGTCAAGATGGGTAGTGATACTATCCAGAGCTACACTGGATTTAGGACTGTTTCCCGAGGTGCCATCAACGGTATCCAGCGCCCGCTCCTAAACGGACAATTCATCTTTCCCTTTGGCACTCTGGATCAAGGCTACTGGCCAGACGGAATTTACACACCTCCAAGCGTAGAAGCCATGGTGTACGATCTCAAAGTACTGAAAAATGTCGGCTACAACATGGTACGTAAGCATATCAAGGTAGAACCGGCGCTCTTCTACAGAGCTTGCGACGAGATGGGAATGTTGGTCATTCAAGACATGCCTTCGCTTCGACCAGACTTACCAGACGGTGTATGTGGCAGCAAGCGCTTAGCAGGCGAAGCCGCGCAAGCAGAGTTTGACCGGGAGTTGGGCTTGATGGTCGAGCAGTTGAAGTCGTACCCTAGTATATTTGCTTGGACGATTTACAACGAAGAATGGGGTCAAGCTACTAATGGTCCTCCGTGGCCCGAGTTTAATCTGACGGATATGGTCCGGAAGATTGATCCTACTCGTCTAGTCAATGCTGTCAGCGGCTGGACCGACCACAGAGCAGGTGACTTTGACGATAATCACCATTACTCCACACCCCAATGCGGAACGCCATTCTGGTCTAACCAAGGTAGCGGCTATGATTCTGCCTATGATAGCTCACGCATTGGCCTTCAAGGCGAGTTCGGTGGCATTGGAACCCAACTTGTGGAAAACAACTTTGACCACGCCTGGTACAAGGAACTGAGTAGCCAAACTGCATACGAGCTTACCAATGGGACCGGATGGTGGAACTATCGTTGTCACGACTTACTCGTGCAACTGCGCGAGCAAATTGATCTATTCGCATGCTCAGGAGGCGTTTGGACACAGACCACAGACGTGGAGGGGGAAGTCAACGGAATGATGACTTACGACAGGAAGATCATTCGCATGAACGAGACGATGTGGAAGCAAGATATACAGGCGCTTTATGACGCCGCGGAGAGAAGGGCCAATAACGCTACGATGGTCATCAGAGCTACAGATATGGAGGGGTTGCAGTACGGTATGTCCTGAGCGGACGGGAAGATCCATATAGACTATCGGCAACTAGTTTAACCCCCGGCCATTATCGTCTAATCATGAATCACAGCTATAGTTCTGTGCATAAGTGGCTTTTGTTCACTCTCAGCTGCTGAGTCTCTGCCATTCTCTCTCTAGCATACCAAAGATTACCACATCCCACCACTGTCCCTCATACCACACGCTCTCTCTCTCCCTCCCTTCAAGCACAAATCCCAACTTCTCATACAACCGTACAGCACCTTCGTTGTAGGTGAAAGCTCGAACTTTGACTCGGTGCAGACCTGCACGTTTGAAGGCATAGTTAAGCGCCCAATTGATGGCTTCAGAACCATAACCCTTGCCCTGGTATAGCGGAAGGATATCAAGTCCAATCTCAGTGTTCCGGTGATGTTGTTTGTGCATCGGCAGCGCATGCATATGAAGCTCACCGACGGCAGTACCAAGTTGTTCGTCAACCACTTCTCCATTCTTCCTTCGTTGCGCAAAGTCTTTCGATCGGTCCTCGTCATTCATAAGGGTAGTTTCCGTTGTGTGGGGCAGCCAGATGATGGCACCCAGGAGGCAGTCGTCGAGTAGCCCTTTCATGAACGATTCCGAATCTGAAGTGCTAGGCAATTTGATATTATTAAAATTACTGTTTGCGAAACCGGAGTGGTCAGCGCTTATGGCGTGGAAGACAGATATGTCGCTTGGACGGATAGCACGGTAGTGCAGCCGCTGACTAGACCATGGGTCAGCCTGAGGCGGGGACCTTGTCGACATGCCTTCGACTATTCTGGTTATGGCAGGGAGGACGTCTCGAGAGGTTCAAGTATGCGTAGTTCAGCTTGTGGCAAAGTAGTGATTGTAAAGTTCTTTGAACTGAACAACTTGGCAGACTTTGAGTGGGAGGTATGTTGACAGGTAGATAATGACTTGCAATGATGGGTTCAGTGTGATTACGCCCTTTACTAACATCCTTCGCGTGAAAACGCCCTTGCTAGCCATGAGCCGAATGGAAGAATCCAGGACTAAGCTTGCCTAAGATAGGCTAGCGAGAATGCCGTCAAACAAACGATGGGATAATTCGATCCATCTCACCTGTTCGTGGGTCACTGCAAAAGGCGCTTCGACAAGTCACAAGACATTCGTGCGATGGCGTCCATGCCGGCAAAATGTGGACGTGAACGCTGTGATAGAAAAACATGTGTGATAGACAAACATGCTATGTTCACACAGAGTCGAAAGTTGTTCTACAAGGTTTATCCACAAGTACACTGCATTCATCTTCATGCTCTCACAAGGATATCTCGCCTCTCCAGGTGCCCTCAGTCAACCCAAGCGTTTCAATGCAATGCTGCCACCTCGGGCCGCCTCTTTCCTTCCTTCTCAGATATTGTAACAGCTTCTGCCTCCTGTGCACCAGCAGCCGCAGGTTTCGCTTGTTGTGCTTGTCGCCCTTTCCTCTTGACTGTAAGAAATCTGCCAGGGTTTTGATCTTGGCGGTCAAGATGGCAATCTGGACTTCGGAAGAGCCTGTATCGGGTCCGACTCGCTTCGCGGCTGCTGCTTTGTTTGTCTCTGGGCGGACGACGCGTGTTTCATCAGCACCAGACCGACTCAGCGATGGGGCCTTGGGTGGAAATATTTTGTCGGTCTTGTGGCGTCCAAATGTCTCGATACAACGTGAGATGTTCACACGCATACGATCTTTGCTCGACCCGTTTTCAAGGGCCGTAATACGGGCGATGGCCTCAGCGGCTCGGGCATGATCCTTCTTATTTTGCTCTTCAATCTCTTCAGCCGATTTCTCGATTTCCGTTATCCTTCCAGCATATATGTCACTGCTCCATTGGGTAGATGCAGGTGTGGTGTGCTTTTCAACGTCGCTCAGCGGCACAGCTAATTCTTGGCTCTTCTGGAGCTGCTGGTAAACGGTTTCGGGATCGAAGGCATAGTTAAGGTGCTTCTGGTCCTTTGGTACGTTTTTGCCTTGTTCGTGTTCAATCGGCTTTCCAGTATCGAACGACTGCACAAATGGTGTGGAAACGCCACGGACAGGGTCTCCAAGACTGGCAACCCGGCCTTGTTCGAGCTCAGCGCGGCGCGTGAGGTTGGCAGCCTTCTTCCTGTTCCGCTGGGCGACTATGTACGGGTCATTGGCAAGGCGTTTCTTCTGTCGCTCAATTGATTCGGCGTGAACTCGCGATGTGGAGGCGAAAGTTCGAATGGGCAGGGTGAGTTGGTATGACACGGATGAGGCTGGAGGGGCATGTCAGTACGAGGCACTGGAAAATGTTCTATCGTACGTACATGTCGGCGCCCGCAGGCACGACAAAGCTGGTATTCGCGGCGGCATTGCTGGCTACACACTCGCTGCCACCACCCTCGAATCTTTTGCGGATCCATGACCGGCGACTGGTTTCGCCGATGCCGGCAGCGCTGTGACGCGAAGCCCGTTGGGGACTAGCCGTTCCCACACGATATTCGCATCGTCCAAGTCCCTCCACCAAAAGTTCCCTCGCACGCAACACGACAACTTCTCTATACCAACCAGCTTGTACAGCGCCAAACCGTCAAAATGGCTCCTTCCAACCTTCCCGCCATCTTCAACCCCACCCAGCAGGACATTGAGATGCTCCTGGCTGCTCAGTGCCATCTCGGCAGCAAGAACCTCCAGGTTCACATGGAGCCATACCTGTGGAAGACCAGGCCCGACGGTGTCAACGTCTTGAACATTGGCAAGACCTGGGAGAAGATTGTCCTTGCCGCGCGCATCATCGTCGCCATTGACAACCCGGCCGACAGTACGTTTGCTCGCGCAATTCGAGACCGACAATCTTGAAACATGCGACCATTTGCGAAAATGGAATTTGGCTGACACCGTGTAGTCTGTGTCATCTCTGCCCGTCCCTACGGACAGCGTGCCGTCCTCAAGTTCGCATCGCACACCGGTGCCACCGCCATCGCTGGTCGTTTCACCCCCGGTAACTTCACCAACTACATCACCCGTTCCTTCAGGGAGCCCCGCCTGGTTATCGTCACCGACCCCCGCACCGACGCCCAGGCCATCAAGGAGGCTTCCTACGTCAACATCCCCGTCATTGTAAGCATGAAATCGCGTGGAATCAGCGATTGAAGCAGGCGGACTAACATGTGACAGGCCCTCTGTGACGGAGACTCACCTACCGAGTACGTCGATGTTGCCATCCCCACCAACAACAAGGGTCGCCACGCTATTGGTTTGATCTGGTGGATGCTTGCCCGTGAGGTCCTCCGCCTCCGCGGCACCCTCGCCAACCGCGAGACCGAGTGGGACGTCATGACTGACTTGTACTTCTACCGCGACCCCGAGGCTGAGGAGAACAAGGACAGCGCTGGTGTTGAGGAGGCCAAGGTCCCTGGTGCCGACGAGGTTGGCCCTGGTGCCGTCGCTGATGGCTTCACTAGCGAGTGGGAGGTCTCCGGCGCATCTGCTGGTGCTTTCACTGCCCAGGCCGCCGCTGCCCCCGGCACCAGCTGGGACGCTGACACCGCCGACTGGGCTGCGTCTGGCGATGCTCAGACTGGCAACGAAGGCTGGGGTGCTGAGACTGCTGCCCCTGCTACCACCACCCAGTGGTAGATATCATCTTGAGCATCTTCGTCAATTCTTCTCTTACATACCCTGTCTTTGACAACCACTGGCATGTCGGCGTAGGAGTAGGGAAAGGAAAAGGAAAAAAATGAGACCATTTGACAAAAACTCAAGAATACCATGCTTTCAGTGGAGAGGGTCGTCTTGAGGGATATGATCAATGCTACGCGCTTATGAGGGAAAGATATCCATGCTTCTCTGAGGTATGGGGGAAAGCCCTGTGCTGGCGATCGGGTTGTACTTAATTGGCGCCCAGTCCTTCAATGCGAACCTTGCACCATGACTACCACGATCACCTGTCCCCACTGTTGATATGATTCCACTTGAGCCTGTAAAATGCTGAGCCTGCCAAAGGTTAATGTTGCCTCATCCATGCGTGAGCCATGTGCGGTGCTTGATGGATTGGTACTGAACTGGAACACACTGCGATGGTTGCAACTAATATTCTTGAAACGTATACAATTGAAAAACCTTTTTCGTCAATCCATAATCCCGTGTTGTACGTACAATGTCATGCCAAAAATCTATAGTTCAAGATATGTACAACGAAACATGATACCGAGCATTTGGCGTATGCTTCACCAAAAGAATTGTCCACGTTCAAGTCGCATGGACAGATGCCTCTAGATGTCATATGTGACGCACTCAAAGCAAGGCGAAGATGGCAACTACACCCGCGAACAGAGCACCCATGCCCTTGAGCTCCTTGGCTAAGCTGTCCGCAGCAGCACCAGTGGAGGCAGGTCCAGAGGTTTCTGCTCCACCAGATCCAGATGAGCCAGACTCTTGCGCACCGGAACCTCCAGTCGCTGTCGCGCTGGAGCCCGCAGATGTAGGGGTTCCGTTGAAGTCATGCTTTTGACCCAGCGTAGGAAGTGGCGATGTAGGAACAACCTCCCAGACCGATGCAGTGTAGTCTGGGCATGCGACAGGCGAGTTTGTTGGGTTGTATTCCGATGCCTTCACGCCGGTTGGGTTGAGTGTTGCCCACACAGCAGAGAGGTTGGGGAAGTCAGGTTCAACTGGAGTAGGCTTTCCTGCGGAAGTCATTAGTCTAAATGCATGCGTAGAGTGCGCCACACAGAACGTACCTGAGCGAGGGAAGCCATCCGGCGGTGCAGAAGGGCTGGCTGGGTCGACGTGAGGGCCATAGCTGATGAGTCCATAGTCGTTTTGCTCCTCGATCCATTCGTAGATGATGCTTCCAGACCAGACATCGGACATTTCTCCAAATAACGCCTCCTGATCCTTGAAATCGCGGGGCTTCACGGTGTTGCAACCCGTCTCCGACATGAAGATTGGGATGTGCAAATCCTCGGAGTTCTTCTCCAGCTGGTCGTAACCCGATTGTTGGTACGTACTCTGTCCACACCAAGAGTAAGCATTCAGGCTGAAAAAGTCTAGGCGCTCAGACGCATTGCTACCACAGGCCAGATAGTTCTGAAGCATAGGTCGGAGAGATGCGATGTCGGCAGCTGAGTACCCAATAGGGATACTGCGGTAGCCCTTCTCATCGCGATAAGCCTTCATGTCTCGGGCAGCGGCCTTGATGTAAGGGGCGGTAACAGAGCCATTGGCAGTGGTAATAGCCTCGTTACCGATGAAAAAGCCAGCCACGTTGTCGTATTGATGGAACTCATCCATGACCTTGGCAAAGGCGTCGCGTTGATCGGTCTCCCAGCGAGGAGTGTTCTGCTCGACTTGGGTATCGAACGTGTCGAGGTCGACCCAGATGTAGACTATCAAAGACAAATTAGCCTCATGCACCTTGGGGAACTTGTGTTCACAAAGCTGTTGCTTTGCGCCAGTTGACAATGAAAAGCTCATGTCCAAGTTGTAGCTAGAAGCGAATTGTACCCCAGAGGCATACACTGCCCCCAGTACAGCCCAATAGACACAGACTTGATCTCATATGTGCGGTGTACGTACTTCCAGCGTCAGCGAATGTCTTCATGCAATCGGTGTGATCCGCATCAGGATCCACATGGTAAACACGGATCGAGTTGGCGCCGATGGTCTTCATGAGGGCAGAGTCGAGACCACATTGTGTCGCGTCGATGAGGGGATCGTCGGGTACCAGTTGGTAGGCGATACCTGCCGGCTTTGGTCAGTAGCGGTTTTGGTTTCACGAGCTGGCGTTCGTACCCTTGACGAAGAATTGATTGCCCTCGCTGGTGAAGAACTTGGAGCCCTTGACCTCAATGGTAGGAATAGCCGACGCGACAGAACTCAAGCCAGCCAGTAGGCTCAGCGATAGAAATTGAACCATCTTATAGCACTGCGACAGGTGATGGGTTTGGCCGCTGGATCCTCGGGTGTGGTTGCGGGAGAAAACAGGTCGCGATAGCTTTGCGCAGATGTTGAGCAAATGCACTAGCTCGCCAGAAGCACAGAGCAAACAGCGACGGAGCCGGTGAGTAACGAGTGAAGGACTGAGCCGTAGAGAAAGAAAGCGCAACGAGGGTGAATCGGTTGAGGGAAGGAAGACGAGAAATACCCGTCGACACAAACAGACTTCCGAACCAAGCTATCAATCCTTCTAATCTCCATCACGTATCGGGCAAGCACCATCATGCCTGCTTGCCGCAAGTCCATCCAGCCTTCCCTAAGCGGCCCCAGTAGCAAGGCACGAACGGCAACGAGGTACATCATGACATTGGAAGAGGACAGGCGCAGTGGGCCCCAGCCGAGACGTGCGCCTGTGTCGCGTCGATCGTCTGAGCTTGTTATTGGTCAATACGCGTTAAGCCTGCTGGCGTGCAGCCTTGATACAGCTAAGCCGTGCACGGCGGGAAATCGCTTCTGCTTGATTGCCTTAGCGCGTCAAGGCTATGTGGAACCCCTCCACGGCTAGAGAAGCCGATACTGCAACACAACAACGGGTATTGGTTACGCCTGTTTCATCCTCAAGCCTTTGCATTTAATGTTGAAACAAAGAGACTCGATGAAAGCCGCATGCAGACTTATCGGCGCTGACACCAGACCTAGGACGTGTAAAAGCTCATGGGAAGGATACTCAATGATCAGGACAACTGTCGCACATAAGAACTAGAGTACTAGCTCTACTCTCATTTCTAGTACTGTGTGCGGAGTATCCAGCCGAATTTGAAAGATTGCCCAAGTTCACAAGTAGAAGACTACCACTAACAAAACCATAGACAACAGGGTACACTGCCCCATATAGGCTGGTGCCACGGAGCCCGAAGTCGGTGGAGGAGACTGTTGAATCGGACATATTGAGGCATTATAGGTAGTCGACACAGTCTGAGGATTGCGAAAGACATTATCAGGATCGAGCGCCGCCTTGACCGTCTGCAAGCGAGGCACATTGCAGCCCCAGTAAGACCGCTGTGGATCCCCAAGCTCAGGGTCGACATAACCTGGATATGCACTCTGATCTGCGCCCGTCTCATTCTGCACCAGGAGGCTGAGGCCGGCCAAGAAGCTCTTGGAGACATCGCTGACGGGCTCAGTAAGACTGACGACGTAGCTCTGCATAAAATAGAGCGCATCACGGTGCCAGTACGCGGAAGCCGTCTGAGAAACATCGGATATGGCGCCGCCTTCGAGATCCCAGATGACGAGCCACACGGGTGATCCTTTCTCTGTCGCATTGATGTACGAAAACATCAATTGAATGGTTTCGTTCGACATCAGTGTCTTGTTCGTCGTCTTGACACTCTTGGCGTAGAAGTGCAGCGGGAAGCTGCCAGTGGCTGTAAGAGTGGGGTCGCCGAGGCCCATGAATGGCACGGTGACAACGGTGCTCTGCGCAGATACGGCTGAGCTATTGGCAGGCATGATAGACTTGGTGTCTAGCGCATCGAACTCAGATCGCGGCCCATAGAAGATGCCATTGATGATCATCGAGCCTTGGCTGAGAGTGACAGTGCTGGAAAACTGGCGGCTGAGATTGGGCTGCGAGACGAGTGTTTGCCAACCTTGGAATGTGCTTGTGAAAGAGGTCGTATCCCTGGCCGTGATGTTGTACGCATACTGGGTAATCTCAGATGGCGCAGGTGCAGTCTTCATGGTGAACTCTGTAACAATAGCGAACGAGAAACCAGCGCCTCGGATAGCGAAGAACAGGTCAGGGTTCGTGCTTGCGCTGGCTGTCACAATGGAACCGTTTGCGACCACGCACTGCGCTGATACGATCTGATCAGTTGCCAGTCCCAGCTGTCGACTGAGTGTTCCGAGACCGCCAATGGTCATGTGGCCACCTGAGCCGATGACGTCCACTTCACCGTATGCCATAACCCGCCCGAGGGGTTGCAGCTTCTGCGAGAGGTTTCCGAGAAGGTTCCCCTATACAAGTTGTTCAAGTCAGCTGAGGAAATAACGAAGGGTCTTCTAGTCTGTTCAATGTTAGGAGGCGACGTACTGGACCAAAAGTAACCGTCTGATCAGTCTCGTTGTAACTGAAAGCACCCATATTCTTCATGTTCATTACCAGGGACCCATTGAAGCCTCCCAATCCTAATTGTAACGCAATTATTAGCAACTCCACTACCACGAGTCTTCTTCGTGGACTCTGCCTTACCATAGTTCGCATAGCTATGGCCGCCACTGCGCGCCTGTACTGCAACTCCTGCTGTATGCGCACACTTGACGGCTTGCGATACTTGCTGTTGCGTCTTTGTGGATATAATTGCAGCTGGAATATTGAGGTGATCCAGATTGTATGGTGTCACGTCCCCTTGTAAGAACAGTGGGTCTTCAGGTAGGGAGTAAAGGTTGGTGTCGTTACCGAAAGCCGACTCCAAACATTGTAAAAACGTGCCGTTCGAAGCTTTAACAGCAACCGCGGCGGTGGGTATGGTTACCAGCCCGAGGTTCTTCATTGTCGATAAGAGATGGTTGAGCAGAAACCAGGCAAGGTCACTTAGCGGGCGGATGAAGCAGTTGCCCAGCTTTAGAGTATTCCGTCCGAAACTCATCTCATTTCTTTTTGAATGGCATGGTCTGCTTGGATTCTCACCCGGGCTGCAAGCTCTAGTGAACGAGATCCAGCTGGTCTTACATGCAGCTGTCTTACACCTCAGCCGGACGGACTTAGCAAGCCACGACGCCCCGCCGCCCCCAACAACTCCTCGTGCGCCATGAAAACGCAGTGTCAAGAGCCGTAAGGCTGCAGCGTGCCTGTATTTTGGGAAGGTTGAAGGCACGATATCATCAGACTCTCAATCTGCAGATACAGCCGGTCAGTGCGGGAGTGACGAACGGAAGATAAGGGCGAGCAAAAACTGTTAAAGAAGTGCTCTTACATCAGAAACATGAGGACATGTCCGTAACTAAATACGCGTCGTTGCAGGTTAGTTACCCCGCATCTTACATGCAACTAGTAATTGAGGCGCGAATACTAGCCCTTTCCAAAGGGCTAGTATGTGCTTTAACTTTTTAGCAAGACGTAAGCACTCTAGTGCTCTAGCAAATGCTAGCTGCACGCGGTCCGTATGCAATGCGCAAACTGAAGGTACTATCATACAACTTATAATGGCTTACTACATGCCCTTATCATTCCAATCCATTCTTACTTCAACTGTTCGGACAATGCCTCGTTGACTTTCACGACTGGCTACATCGTCCTTATCTATCGCTTTGTCGAGAGTATGCATTTCTACTTCTGCGCTGACAAGAGCAAGGTCTGAGTTTGATTCGTTTTGTCGTTCCAATCGGTCCCTCCCTCTAGTTGCAGACGAAAAGGGATCGAGAGCTAAGGACCTTGAGTGAGGGGCCGATCTCGATGTGAGACCGCGTTCCCAAACACGATTAAAGAATGGACGCATAGTGGGAACGCAAGCAGCTATGATAACAATGTTTTGCTCAACCCTGCCAAAGAATTAGTACATAGGCTTTAGTTTTGATGAGGGAACGTGACGTACAAGCCCCACAGGACGAGCGGTACAGGTTTCCATACTACGCATTGATTAGTGTCGTTCTATCATCGTCCCTTGAGGAATTCACAAGGGTCTGTCGTGTCTGTAAACAGTGGTAGATATGTTCCCTTCACTGTAGTGACGACTGCGGACAGCATAGTCATGCTCATCATGGCAATCAGCCCTGCTTTTGTAAAACGAGGCATCTGAAGATTCCAGAATGCGCGTGATGGAACAATTGCTAGAACCATGTCTGTAAGTGCAGTGTATGCACAAAGCCAGTAAGAGAAGTAGTTGACAATATCCGGGCTCAGCATGAGCCTGGCAGGGTTTTCTCCCACAGCTTGCTAGTTGGCTGACATTGTGCAAACACTAGGGCGATAGTGATGATGGCGAAGATGACCTGCAAGATCGCCATTGTATGTAAGGCGATGGTCCGCTGTGGGTTCAAGGGAAGAATTTGACAAACAAGTATCGCGATAGATATGTTTGGGAAACTGAATGCAGCTACCGCATGCTACTTAGAGAGAGGAACTGTAATGATATGTTGCAGGTCACCTACCGATATTGAAAGCTGCAAACATGTCAGCTCAGACACCGCTGGAAGAGGACCACCGTTGTGACCAACTTACGATATCCAAGCATTTGAACCTTAGCACCCTGGAACAGTCGCTGGTTGCCATACTTTTCTGCCACTACTGCTGTGTGCTGGCCGAATCCCAACTGAACTCCATAATGTACGAACGATGAGGCGATGACACTAAAAATCTGTTGGAATCATGAGAACCCAGTCTTGCTCGATGGAAAGGCTGTGCAGCAACTCCATACCAGTGACAGGAAGATGAAGAAGTCGTCCCATCCAACGACGTGGACTATCCTTGCTCGAGCAAAAAGCTTGATACCACAGTCATAACTGCGGCTCCAGTCATGACCCATGCTACAACTAGAACCTCTGTCTGTCTGTTCTCGGTGAGATCCACAGACTCTGCCATCATTGCAGAGTCTTCTACGTGTTGGAAAGGGAAGCAAGGCACCTGAAAACAAAAGCACTCAGACTTCGATAGTATTAAGATGTGATCGCGGTTGCATTTCACTATGCAGACCGACGGTTTGTAGGAACATACGACGAAGAGCTCGAGGCGAGCAAATATATTGGGATGGCACTCTGGTCAAGGGATGAAAATTAACACGATGAGGTCAATCCTACATCGAGGTCAATCACTCCCAAGGCCACGGTACAAATTACGAAACATGGACAAGGGTTACGAACCAGCTCATCCAGTGTCGTGTATCCTGCCTCGAATCGAAAGGCTGGCATTATTTCATCAAGCCAAGAAGCGGCAGAGTTGTTAATCTCGTTCGTTGGAGAGCACAGGGATTCTCCATAGAATTCTTATTGATGTTTAGTCTCATCCTTCGAAAATCCTGAATGCTGTGAGGATGTGGCACAGTTGCTTCGGACGAATTTCTCTGTTTGCGTCTGCGCAAATTTACCTAATACCGCATGCTACCTGCAGGGTCGCCTCACTCAGGATAGCATTTTGTCATACTAAACAAAGCTATAAATCTGTCTTCTGTTGTACTCAGTTGTGTTGGGTAATGGTGTCCAGAGAGGTTGCGATGTACTGTGCATGGCTTCTCTCGGGTGTTCATACATTAACGGAATCTTGACCGAGCCGTGTCCCTGGGGCCGTCGCTCCAGCCCGCACCCCACAAAAATACCATATAGGTTACCTAACTATCCAGATCCGGTCGAACCTTATCGAACCAACGTCGCGATAAGGATGGGATGGCAATAGGCGCAGCCCTCCCTGGTTTGAACAAGTTGTCTGTAAGCTCGTCAAGTACCTAGGTAGGTACCTAGGTATCTCTGATATGAAGTCGTGCCTACTCGGGCCGGCCAGCGCTGGACATAGAATGCCTTGTAGATGTGTCTTTAATGTGCCAACGCAACGTTTTTGTACCCTCAGCTATGTCACTGAAGCGGTAGTGAGGAAGCCGTACACGTAGTGCGAGTCATGAACAGCGTCGCATAGCGCCACAGGAAGACAGCAGCCGCACTGGGTGCGACTTCCACCAGGGGGTCTGTACGTACGGAATTCTTATATAAAGCGTCTTGACTCTTTGATTCTTGCACCAAGGTCGGAAGAAATCGACTTCATCACTCTACACCCAGGCAGTATGTCGACATCAGTTCCAATCATTCTCGAGCGCATCACGTCGGCCGGCAAGGCTTTCGAAAGCAACGAAGTTGGTTCACGGGAAAACTTAATCGACCTTGCCAGAGACCTCATAGCAAGTCTCGAGATTCCGAGTGAATTCCTACAAAGAAGTTTTTGGGCGGAGGTTGGTCGCCCAAATCCGAATGGACGCGATTGCGCTAATCATATCGAAGCCTGCATTATCTGCACATTGCAAGATTGCCGTTGAAGTCAAGCTCTTCCAACATCTCAAGGATGCAGGCGAAGCTGGCCTCAGCGCCGATGATCTTGCACGGAAAACAGGCGTTGAGTCGACTTTGCTACGACGGATCATGCGTCACCTGATTGCCATGAAGGTTGTTGCCTTCTCTAATGACCGTTTCCTCGGGTCAAACCTCAGCGATGGGCTTGCAGCAGAGAACTACCAAAAAAGTATCGACTTCTGCTATGATGTTGCACGGCCATCATTCAATCGCTTTCCCGACTTCTTTAAGACTACGGACTACAAGTCACCGGCCTCGCCTACGGATGGGCCTTTCCAAATGGCGCATGGAACGCAGCTGCCATTCTTTCCATGGCTGGAGGCTACACCACCCCATCTAGATGAGTTCGGTAACTTCATGTCAGCGTACCGGGCTGGTAAGGCGAACTGGTTCGATCCAGGTTTTTATCCAGTCGCCGACCGACTGATCGAAGGCTTCAATCCTGCCAACAACGAAGTGTTGCTGGTAGATGTAGGTGGTGGCCGGGGACATGATGTCCAGCAATTCGTGGCGCAGTACAAGGCACAGCCTGGGAAGGCTGTGCTCCAGGACCTAGAACCTGTCATCGCTAGTATCCAGGATAAGGACAAACTGCCATTCGACAGCACGGTTCACGATTTCTTCACCCGGCAACCAATCAAGGCCGCAAGGGCATATGCACTCCATTCTATACTACACGATTGGAGTGACGAGGAAGGAATCAACATCCTCGAGAACTTGAAACCTGCACTCAAGCCTGGGTACTCGCGGGTGTTGCTGAACGAGATCGTGTTGTCGGAAGAGAAGCCCACTATTGCTGCCACATCGATGGACATGATGATGTTAGCACATCTCTCTGTACATGAGAGAACTGAATCGGATTGGAGAAGGATACTGCAAAAGGCCGGATTAGAATGTCTACATGTATATAGCTACCCAGGCGTTGCAGAGAGCGTTATAGAAGCAGAACTAAAACAGTAGAGATTATATAGAGAGATATATAATTAGATCTTTAATACTCTAGAAAATA